CTGTGAGACGTGCGGGAAGTCCTTCAAGCGCAGCATGTCGCTGAAGGTGCACTCGCTGCAGCACTCCGGGGAGAAGCCCTTCCGCTGCGAGGTGGGTCCCGCCCTGGGGGGTGGGGGCCCCTCCCCCCCTTCCCACCCACGCCCCCTGGGAGGGGAGGAGGGGGGACCCGGGACTACAGGAGGGAGCGCGGAGCCCGGCCCTGGAACAGGCGTGGGGTGGGGGGGTCCTCCTTCCCCGGGCCTCCGGATGTGGACCTCCCCCTCCCCCCTCCCCTCCCCCTCCTCCCCCCTCCCCCCCCTCCCCCCCTCCCCTCCCCCCTCCTCCCCCCCTCCCCCCCCCTCCCCCTCCCCCCTCCCCCCTCCCCCTCCCCCTCCTCCCCCTCCCCCTCCCTGCCCCCCTCCCCCTCCTCCCCCCCTCCTCCTCTTCCCCCTCCCCCCCTTCCCTCCCCCTCCTCCCCCCTCCCCTCCCCCCCTCCCCGTCCTCCCCTCCCCCCCTCCCCTCCCCCTCCCCCTTCCCCTCTTCCCCCTCCCCCTCCTCCCCCCTCCCCTCCCCCCCTTCTCCCTCCCCCCCTCCCCTCCCCCTCCCCCTCCCTTCCCCCTCTTCCCCTCCCCCTCCCCCTCCTCCCCCTCCCCCTCCCCCTCCCCCTCCTCCCCCTCCCCCTCCCCCGCCCCTCCCCCTCCTCCCCCCCAGAACTGCAACGAGCGCTTCCAGTACAAGTACCAGCTGCGCTCCCACATGAGCATAACCACATCGGACACAAGCAGTTCATGTGCCAGTGTGCGGCAAGGACTTCAACATGAAGCAGTACTTCGACGAGCACATGAAGACGCACACAGGGTGCGGGCCGCGGGGAGGCCGCGGGGGAGGCGGGGGAGGCCGCGGGGGAGGCCGCGGGGGGAGGCCGCGGGGGAGGCCGCGGGGGAGGCCGGGGGAGGCCGCGGGGGAGGCCGCGGGGGAGGCCGCGGGGGAGGCCGGGGAGGCCGCGGGGGAGGCCGCGGGGGAGGCCGCGGGGGAGGCCGGGGAGGCCGCGGGGAGGCCGCGGGGGAGGCCGCGGGGGAGGCCGGGCCTCGCCGCCTGGGCCTCGCCGCCCCGGCCTCCCGGCCTCCCAGCGGGCTCCTCGCGTCCCCAGGGAGAAGCCGTACATCTGCGAGATCTGCGGCAAGAGCTTCACCAGCCGGCCCAACATGAAGCGGCACCGGCGCACGCACACCGGCGAGAAGCCGTACCCGTGCGAGGGGTGCGGCCAGCGCTTCCCCGCTTCTCCAACATGCTCAAGGCGCACCGCGAGAAGTGCTTCCGCCTCAGCCGCGCGCCCGGCCCCCGACGGCGGCCCCCCGCCTGACGCACGCACGCACGCACGCACGCCACGCACGCACGGACGGACGGGCGGGGCGGCGCCTCCCCCCCTCCCCCTCCCCCCCCTCCCTCCCCCCCCTCCCTCCCTCCCCCTCCCTCCCTCCCCCCTCCTCCCTCCCCCCCTCCCTCCCACCTCCCTCCCCCTCCCTCCCTCCCCCTCCCCCCTCCCTCCCCCCCCTCCCCCCCCTCCCCCTCCCTCTCCCTCCCCCCTCCCCCCCTCCCCCTCCCCCCTCCCTCCCCCCTCCCCCCTCCCCCCTCCCCTCCCTCCCTCCCCCCCTCCCCCCTCCCCCTCCCCTCCCCCCTCCCCCCCCCTCCCCCCTCCCCTCTCTCCCCCCCCCTCCCCCCTCCCCCCTCCCCCCTCCTCCCCCCCTCCCCCCCTCCTCCCTCCCCCCTCCCCCCCCTCCTCCCTCCCTCCCCCCTCCCCCTCCCCTCCCTTCTTTTCCCAGGAAGCTGGAGGTTGGTTCTTTTCGGAGGCCAAGGAACCAAAGGGGGACCCGGGGCGCGCGCGCCAGCGGCTGCAGCCCAGGCCGGGCCTGGGTCGAGCTCTGGGGGGGAGGGGAGGGCACCCCCAAATTCCACCCCACCCCTTTTCTTTTTTGTGCCCCTAACGCACCCCTCCGTCGTCGCGAGGAGACCGGGGCGGTGCTGCGGCTCCAGGCCCGCACCCCGGGGGGGGCGTCATCTGGGGGGTGCCACGGGGCCCCCCCAAAAAACAATCCTGGCTATGGCAGCCCCGGGCCGGCTCCCTGGGGTGCCCCTGCCCCAGCCCCCTTCCCGGGGAGCGGCACCCCGAAAGGCGAGGGCGATGGCCCCGGGGTTCACGGTGCTACCAGGGAGGCGGAGGCGCACCCCGATCTCAGCCGCCCCTGCCTGGCTTTACCCGCTCCGCCGCGCGCGCACCAGGACAGTCCCTCTGTCTGTCCATCAGTCCGTCTGTCTGTCTGATTTCCCACACACACACACACACACCCAGGCCTGGCCACACCCCAACTCTGCTGGCCCCCAAGACGGGCATTGAACCTGATCTGTGCCGGCCCCGGGATTTGAACTCAGGGACCTGGCGCGCGTCCCCCCCCGCCCCGCCGGGGCCCACGGCTCCCCCAGCCCCCCCAGCCCCCCGCCGGGGCCCGCGGCTCCCCCAGCCCCCCCAGCCCCCCGCCGGGGCCCGCGGCTCCGTCCAAGCAAACAAAGGAGTCCCAGCCTTTGCCGCAGATCCTCCGGCCGCGGCCTCCCGGGCCGCCGGGATTACAGGCGTGCGCTGCCTGCCGGCCCCCAGCTCCGCGGAACCCCCCCGATGTTTCCTGTCCTCTTTTCGCCCATCCCCGCCTTTGGGGCACGGAAGGAGCTGCCTAAGCCACACGCACCCCCGGCCCGTCCGACTCTGCACCTTACAACGCCCCCCCTTCCCAGCTCCACCTGCCGGCGGCGGATGGGGCCTGCGCCCCGGGACACCTGGACACGCGGACCCCTGTGGTCTCTGGGAAGGGGAGCCGGCCCCCCCGTTGCCGGCCAGAGCTGGGGGGGAGGGGGGACATTTTAATCATCAATAAACGAAGCACTTTATTCTGTAACTCGAGCGCCAGCCCCCGCCATTGGGGGGATGGGTGGGGGGTGGGGGAGGGAAGAGACATCCTGTGTCCTGGCTTTTGGGGAGGGGAAGGGGAAGGAGGCCCCATCTTCCTCTCTGAAAAAGGAGAACTTCCAGCTGGGCTCCGGTCCCGGGATTCGAACTCATGACCCAAGCTGCTTTGCTTGTGCCCCAAGGCCGGCGCTCGACCACCCGGAGCACAGCGCCTCTGAGTGCTTCCATTTGGAGATCAGAGTCTTTTCCTGCCCCTGTGGCTGGGCCTCGAGCCACCATCCTCCGGATTCCGGCCTCCCAAAGTCACTAGAACGCCCGGCCTGAAGCCACCAGCTGCCCTTGTGTGTTCCACAAGGTCCTTCTAGAAGCTGCCAGGGGCGGGGGGGGGGGGGGGCCAGGCGTGTGAGACATGACAGGGACCCCCCCAAAAGAGGGAAGGTGACTCAGTAGTCACGGTCTAGCCTGCGACCTCCTATTCACCCCGCCACGCCCCAGGCCAGAACCTAAGGAGCCGAATGAGTCATTGGTTCCCACAGAGCTCAGGCCCCGGGACCTGAGGCTAAATTTAACCCACAGCTGTGGCCCTGGCACTGAGCAGCGCGCAGAGGATGGTGGCTAGGGGGTGTTCAGCTGCCCTGGGCACCGGGGGGGCCCCCCCTTTACCTGGATGCCGTACCCAGGCCAGGCAGGAAGAACCGAGACTAAGTAGGTGCTCAGCGAGGCCACACGGTCCAGACCCTGGGATCCATATTCGCTCATCCTGGGACTCGAACCCGGGGCCTGGGCCCCGTCCCTGAGCTTCTTTGTGGCTCAAGGCGGGTGCTGTACCGCTCAAACCACGGCTGGTGGTGTGGCCACTTCCAGTTTCCTGGTGGCTCCTTGGGAGATCAGAGGCTCACAGGCTTTTCTGCCCGAGGCCAGCCTCGAACCACGATCCTCTAGATCTCAGCCTCCTGAGGAGCTGGGATGACGGGTGTGAGCCACTGATTCATCCACCTGAGAGGAAAAAGGCCTTCAAATCTCCCCGGGGGGGGGGGCCCGCACCCCCCTAGAGCTGAGTCAAGGCCTCCAGACCAGTTGTCCACCCCCCCCCCCCCGTACCCCCCTTTAAATATGCGTCACATGCCGGACGAGATCACCTTACACAGGGGCCTGGCTGGGCGCCGTGGCTATGTGTCTATATATAATCTGCCTCCTCCCTGCAGCTGCTAGGTTGGAAGACAACAGACAGACGGACAGACGGACAGACCGGGGAGGGCGGCCATCATGACGGTGGGCTTGCAGGAGGCCGAGGAGCAGCGGCTGTACCAGCAGACCCTCCTGCAGGACGGCCTCAAGGACCTGCTGGACGGCGGCCAGCTGGTGGACTGCGTGGTGAAGGTGGCCGAGCGCGAGTTCCCCTGTCACCGCCTCGTGCTGGCCGCCTGCAGTCCCTACTTTCGAGCCCGGCTGCTGGGGGAAGCGGAGCCGGGGGCCGAGCCGGGCCAGCTCCGGCTGGACGACGTCCCCCCAGACGTGGTGGGCCAGATGCTGCGCTACCTCTACACCTCGCAGATCGCCCTGGACGAGGCCAGCGTGCAGGAGCTGCTGGCCGCCGCGCACCGCTTCCAGATCGCCTCCATCTTCACCCTGTGCATCTCCTTCCTGCATCGCCGGCTCTGCCTGGCCAACTGCCTGGCCGTCTACCGCCTGGGCCTCCTGCTCGACTGTCCCCGGCTGGCCGTGGCCGCCCGGGATTTCATCTGCGCCCGCTTCCCGCTGGTGGCCCGCGATGGGGACTTCGTGGGCCTGTCCCCCGACGAGCTGATCGCCATCGTGTGCAGCGACGGGCTGGACGTGGCCCGCGAGGAGGTGGTGTTCGAGGCCGTGATGCGCTGGGCGGAGGCCGGGGGGGACGCCCGGCTCCGGGCTGAGCGCCAAGGCGCCCTGCCCACCGTGTTCGAGAGCCTGCGCTGCCGCCTGCTGCCCCGCGAGTTCCTGGAGACGCGCGTGGCCGGGCACCCACTGGTGAAGACGCAGCCCGAGCTGCTGCGCAAGATCCAGATGGTGAGGGACGCCCACGAGGGGCGGCTGACCACGCTGCGCAGGAAGAGGAAGGGGAGGAAGAAGGAGGCGCCGGTGGAGGCCGAGGGCGGAGATCCGAAGGCGGAGGCCGCGGGAAACGCAGAGGAGGCCGAGGAGGAGGACGATGGCCGCGTGCTGCCCGGCATCCTCAACGACACCCCGCGCTTTGGCATGTTCCTGAAGGACCTGATCCTCATGGTCAGCGAGGCCGGGGCCGTGGCCTACGACCCGGCCTCCAACCAGTGCCACCTCGCCGCCCTGTCCACGCAGGTGCCCAAGAACCACACCAGCCTGGTGACCGCGGAGAACCAGGTGTTCGTGGCCGGGGGGCTCTTCCACAACGAGGACGACCCCGACGAGCCCCTGAGCGCCTACTTCCTGCAGGTGCGTGGGTTTGGGGGTGCTGTGGGGAGGCAGAGGGGAGGTTGGGGGTTCAGGGAGCCGCGTTCCAGGTGCCCTCGGATGGGGACACTGAGGCTGTGGGAGGCGCAGCGGAAGGGGACGTGGGATCTGTGTTACGCTGCCGAGTCGGGCCTGGGATTCGAACTCACGGCCTGGGCGCCACGTGGCAGAGGTTGGCTTTGCTGGTGGCTCTCTGCCCCGACCGGCTTCGTGCTGGTTCGTTCTCTGGAGATCGGGGGCTTAGGGAGGCTTCGTTCCTGCTTCCCCCCCTGCGCCCCCCCGGGCTGGCCTCGAACCACGATCCTCCGCGCCGCAGTACGACCACCTGGACGCGGGCTGGCTGGGGATGCCGCCGCTGCCGTCGCCGCGCTGCCTCTTCGGCCTGGGGGAGGCGCACAGCTCCATCTTCGCGGTGGGCGGCCGCGCGCTGCGCGACGGCGAGAGCTGCCTGGACTCGGTGATGTGCTACGACCGCCGGTGCGTGTGGGCGGGGCCTGCGGGGGGCGGGGCCTGCGGGAGGGCGGGGCCTGCGGGGGCGGGGCCTGCGGGAGGGCGGGGCCTGCGGAGAGGACGGGGCCTGCGGGAGGGCGGGGCCTGCGGGAGGGCGGGGCCTGCGGGGCGGGGCCTGCGGGAACGGGGCGGGGCCTGCGGGGGGCGGGGCCTGCGGGAGGGCGGGGCCTGCGGGAGGGCGGGGCCTGCGGGGAGGACGGGGCCTGCGCGACGGCGAGAGCTGCCTGGACTCGGTGATGTGCTACGACCGCCGGTGCGTGTGGGCGGGGCCTGCGGGGGGCGGGGCCTGCGGGGGCGGGGCCTGCGGGGAGGGCGGGGCCTGCGGGAGGGCGGGGCCTGCAGGATGGGGCGGGGCCTGCGTGACAGCCAGAACTGCCTGGACTCGGTGATGTGCTACGGGCGGGGCATGGGGCGGGGCATGGGGCGGGGCATGGGGCGGGGCATGGGCAGGGCCTGCGAGGGGACGGGGCCTGAGCGATGGTGAGGGCGGCCTGGACCGGTGCGTGTGGGCGGGGCCTGCAGGGTGGGCAGGGCCTGAACTCCTTGCTGTGCTGCCACCAGTGGTGCGTGTGGGCGGCGCCTGGCTGGTGGTGCGTGTGGGCGGGGCCTGGCAGGGGCGGGGCCTGTGGGGAGGGGCGGGCCCTGAGCGACCCGGTCTGGACTCTGCTGTGCTAGGACCGCCGGTGCGTGTGGGCGGGGCCCTCGGGGCGGGGCCTGAGAGAGGCGGGGCCTGCGGACTCAGTGCTGTGCTACAACTGCTGGCGCGTGTGGGCGTGGCCTGGGCCGGGTCTGGGGGCGGGGCCTGGGCCTGCAGGGCCTGGACGGGTGAAATGACCGCCGGTGCGCGTGGGCGTGGCCTGCGGGGCGTGGTCTGGCCTCGGCTCGGAGCCTGATAGGGGCATGGCACGACAGGGCGTGGCTCCACACGAGGCGTGGCCGGCTGGTGGGCGGGGCCCGCCGAGGGCGGCGGGGCGAGCGAGACCCCGGGGGTCGGAGCGGGGTGCTCTGTGGGGTGTACGGGATGCACCCGAGTTGCGGCTGGCGACCCTCGGAGGCCTGGTGGGCACCCCGAACCAGTCCTCCCCCATTTCCCCTCCCTCCCCCTCCTCATCCAGGTCGTTCAAATGGGGCGAGTCGGACCCGCTGCCCTACGCGGTGTACGGCCACGCCGTGCTCTCGCACCTGGACCTCGTCTACGTCATCGGCGGCAAGGGCGGCGACAGGTGAGGCCCCGCCCCCTCCCCCGGCGGGGCGGGCTGGGTCGGGGGGGGTGGGGGGACAGGCCAGGCCCGGGGGGGGGGGGCAGGCCAGGCCCGGGGGGACAGGACAGGCCCGGGGGGGGGCAGGACAGGCCCGGGGGGGGGCAGGACAGGCCCGGGGGGGGGGCAGGCCAGGCGGGGGGGGGCAGGCGGGGGGGGGCAGGCCAGGCCCGGGGGTGGGGATAGGCCAGGCCCGGAGGGAGGGGCAGGCCAGGCCCGGGGGGGGGCAGGCCAGGCCGGGGGGGACAGGCCAGGCCCGGGGGGGGCAGGCCAGGCCGGGGGGGGGACAGGCCAGGCCCGGAGGGAGGGGAAGGCCAGGCCCGGGGGGGGGGGGATAGGCCAGGCCCGGGGGGGGGGCAGGCCAGGCCCGGGGGGGACAGGCCAGGCCCGGGGGGGGGCAGGCCAGGCCGGGGGGGACAGGCCAGGCCCGGAGGGAGGGGCAGGCCAGGCCCGGGGGGGGGACAGGCCAGGCCCGGGGGGGGGGCAGGCCAGGATGGGGAGCAGGGGTTCCACCCCCCAGCCCCCTCCACGCCCTGCCTCCCCCCTCCCTCCAGGAAGTGTCTCAGCAGGATGTGCGTCTATGACCCCAAGCGGTTCGAGTGGAAGGAGCTGGCCCCCATGCGCACCCCTCGTTCGCTCTTCGGGGCCACCGTCCACGACGGCCGCATCTTCGTGGCCGCGGGGGTCACCGACACGGGGCTGACCGGCTCGGCCGAGGTGTACAGCATCGCCGACAACAAGTAGGGAGCTGCTCCCCCCCCCCCCAGGCAACCAGAAGGGACCAGAGAGGGCGTTTCCAGCAAGAGGGGTGCCTGCGTATGTGTGTTGGGGTACCGGGGCTCGAACTCGGGGCCTCGGCTCCCACGTGGCCTTCCCCCCACCCCCAAGACTGATTACACTTGAGCCACACAACTTCTAGTTTTTGGGGGTTGTTTTTGGCCTGGCCTCAAACCCTGATCCTCAGACCTCAGCCTCCTGCGTAGCTGGGGGGCCAGGCAGGAGCCACGGCCCGGCTAGGATGCAGATTCTGGACTGGGAAGGTGGCTCAGTGTTAGAGTGCTCGCCTTGCATGCATGAGGCCCTGGGTTCGACTCCTTAGCACCACAGACACAGAAAAGGCCAGAAGTGATGCTGTGGCTCAAGTGGTAGAGCACCCAACCTTGCGCCAAAGAAGCTCAGGGACAGCGCCCAGGCCCTGAGTTCAAACTCCAGGACTGGCCAAAACAAATAAATAAAATCAGCAAAAAGAAGGTAGCCCCAGGAACGGAGACCTGGTATTCAGACTTCAAAGGGGGTGCAACTGAATTTGTGGAAGGCCCCCAGGCCCCCCGCTTCCTCTCTCGCCCCCTCAGATGGTCCCCCTTCGAGGCCTTTCCCCAGGAACGCAGCTCGCTCAGCCTGGTCAGCCTGACTGGGACGCTCTACGCCATCGGTGGCTTTGCCACTCTGGAGACTGAGTCGGGGGAGCTGGTCCCCACGGAGCTCAGTGATATCTGGAGGTAAGCCCAGCCCCCAGGGGGTGTCACGGGGCTTGGGGGGGACATCCCGAGCTAGATGGGTGGCCCACAGCACCAGCTAGGTAAAAGCCACCCCGCTTTCCAGGAGTGCTAGGGGAAGGGACCACAAAGACCTCCCTTAGTCCCAGCTTCTCACTAGTCTGCGCGGGACAAGTCTGATTTGCAAGACCCCGCCCCGTGTCTTCCCCCCATCTTCTGATGAGGATCAGTGGGTAGGACACCCTGCTTCTGAGAGACTCTGCTTCCCACAGCTGGTTCATGGGGAGCGCAGAGTAGGGGGAAGAAGTTTCAGACACCTGGCAGCCTCCAGGGCAGAGTGGGGTACAGGGGGGCTTTTTTTCCATGTCGTTGTTGGTCCTGGGGTTTGAACTCACAGCCTGGGCGCTGTCCCTGAGCTCTTTGTGTTCCAGGCTGGCACTCTACCACTTTGAGCCATGTATATATGGCACTAGTTCCGGTTTTCTGGTGGTTCAGTGGAGATCAGAGTCTCACAGGGACTTTTCCTGCTCTAGGCTGGCTTTGAACCACGATCCTCCGGATCTCAGCCTCCTGAGGAGCTGAGATGACAGGGTGTGAGCCACCAGCACCCGGCTCAGGGGGGCTTTTTGGAAACCGAGTGGTGGGATCCTTCCCAGAATGTGAGGAGGGGTGAGGGGTGGGCTTTCTTGGACCCCCTTTCTGGCAGCATGGGAATTGTCTAAGACTGATCCAGCCAGCTGGGCACACAGCCTGTCATGGGAAGCAACTCGGGAGGCTGAGATCTGGAGGATCGCGGCTCGAGGCCAGCCCAGGGAGGAATGACCATGAGACTCTCATCTCTAATGAAGCCACCCCCCATAAAAGAGATGGGGTGGAGATGGAAGAAGGCAGGCTGGCCCGGGCTCCAGGGCTCACTCCTTCCAGTGGATCAGCTGACCAACGTCTCTCCCCCCCCTCCGTCCCCCCAGATATAACGAGGAAGAGAAGAAGTGGGAAGGGGTGCTGCGGGAGATCCCGTACGCGGCCGGCGCCACCTTCCTGCCCGTGAGGCTTAACGTCCTTCGCCTGACCAAGATGTGACCACCTTGTTCACCCTGCGTGACCTGCACAGGCCCTGACTGCAGGGGGCGCTCTAAGGAGGATTGCTGAGAGACCAAGAACTCACGGAGACTTTCTTGTGTAGTCAGCCAAGTCTCTGCCTAAAGCAGAGATAAAGCAGCAAGAACAACAACAGAAACAATGGCTCAGTGGTAGAGTGCTCGCCTAGCATGCATGCAGTCCTGGGTTCGATTCCTCAGTCCCATATACACAGAAAAAGCCACAAGTGGCGCTGTGGCTCAAGTGGTAGAGCGCCAGCCTTGAACCAAAGAAGCTCAGGGACAGCGCCCAGGCCCTGAGTTCAAGCCCCAGGACTGGCAAATAACAACAAAATCAAGGCTCTAGCTGGGCACCAGTGGCTCACGCCTGTCATCCTAGCTCCTCTGGAGGCTGAGATCTGAGGATGGCAGTTCGAAGCCAGCCCCGGGCAGGAAATTCCAAGAGACTCCCATGGAAGTGGAGCTGTGGCTCAAATGGTAAGAGTGCTCGGGGGACAGCGCCCAGGCCTTGAGTTGAAGTCCCAGGACTGGCACAGACAAAAGTAAATAAAAGTAAATAAGTACAAGCAAACCACTAACTCCAGATCTGGAGTCCAGTAGGCCAAGTGGCCATTCTTCCTAAGTGTCTGGAAGATTCCTTAGGTCATAAGGTGGGTGATCTCTGCCTTCCTGTGCTCCCTCTTCTCTGCTCCTGTTTGGGGGGCAGGGGGGAAATGGGGGAACAACCAGGCTATGGTAGAAAAGTCTTTTTTATTCTATCACCCAGACGTAGCTGAGCAGAGCCAATCAACGCGTCGCCCTCCCGTCCATCTCCAGCTCCTCTCTGCCCCGCCCCTGCTCCTCATCCACAGCCAATCAGCGCCCTCCCATCCATCTACTCCAGCTCCTCTCTGTCCCGCCCCCGCTCTGCATCCACAACCAATCAATGCCCTCCCATGCATCTACTCCAGCTCCTCTCTGTCCCGCCCCTTACTCCTCATCCACAGCCGATCAACGCGTTGCCCTCCCATCCATCTACTCGGGCTTCTCTTTGTCCTGCCCCTGCTCATCATCCAATGCCAGGGTTCGCTCCCGCTCCTTCACCAGCTGGACCCCACAGTAGGTGACAAACAAGATGGCCAGTGTGGTCTGAGGGAAGCCTGTTGGGGGAGGAGCCACTGATGTCTGGAACTCTTCGCACCTAGCGATTCATTTCTTCCCATTTCTGTGCCCCATCCACCCACCCGGGAAAGCCCTCTCTACTGGATGCCAGTGGCTCACGCCTGTCATCCTAGCTACTCAAGAGGAGGCTGAGATCTGGAGGATCGCAGTGCGAGGCCAGCCCAGGGCAGGAAAGTCTGCGAGACTCTGATCTCTCATGAACCACCAGGAAACCGCCATCTATGTGGCTCAAAGTGGTGGAGCGCTTACCTTGAGCACAAAGCAGCTCAGGGATAGAATCCAGGCCCTGAGTTCGAGACCTAGGACTGGCAGAAAGTGGGGGGGGGGGGGGGAAGGATGCACACACAGTTGTTTCTTTCTTACCTGTGAGTAGCAGGCGTTGGGCCACCAGCTCGGTGAACGCCAGGCTGTTGAGGCTCACGAGGTTGTACATGATGATGGCCCAGTAGTTGATGGCTCCGAAAAGACCTCGAACCCTGCGAGACATTTGCTCCGACAGAGAGGCCTACTTGGTCCAGGGAAATGTTTGTTACCAAAAGGGGAGAGGAAGAGAGAAAGAAAGAGAGAGTTGGGGGGTGAGCCAGTGACCGGGGCCTTTAGAACCACCCAGGCCCTTTCTTCATTGCTAAATACGGGGAAACTGAGGCCCAGGGAGAGGTTAAAGACTTGACCAAGTAGAGTCAGATTTCTTTTTGTCAGTTGTGAGACTTGAACTCAGGGCCTGGGCACTGTCCCTGAGCTTCTTTGTGCTCAAGGTGAGCGCTCTACCACTTGAGCCACAGCGCCACTTCCGGTTTTGAGTGGTTCATTGGAACTAAGAGTCTCACGGACTTTCCTGTCCGAGGCTGGCTTCGAACCACGATCCTCAGATCTCAGCCTCCCTGAGTAGCTAGGATGACAGGCGGGAGCCACCAGTGCCCACCCAGGGGAGAAAGTTCTTGACTGGGGCCCCAGGCTGGATAATTCCAGAAAGTAATCGTGTCACCTTTTCCTGTGGGTCCCCCCCCACCCCCCAATCCCTGGCTCACCTCGATGTGTGCCAGGGGTGCACACTCTGCCAGCTTCTGCACCCAGAGTTCGAAGTTGAGGCCAAAGCAGTTAAGGAAGGACCAGAGGTACACGATGTCACACGGCCCAAGCCACAGAGTGGTCACGGCGAATGTGGCCACAGAGGCCACGAGCTCTGGGACCACGGAGGTGTGATCCCCTCCAAGGTGGTCGTAGACGTATCTGCAGGGGAGGGGGAGAGGAAAGATGGGAGAAGCAGGCTGGTAGAGGCCCGGGGCGCATGTGATGCATAGCTGCTGTAGCTGTGTTCCTTGACACCCCAACTTTCTGTCATCCAAGCCTCAGTACTGGGATACACTCACAAAGATGGACAGACACCCCAAGGTGCAGTGGGGTGAACCAGATTTCTCTGCCCCTCAGACATTTTAATGAATGAATGAATGAATTGGCTTTGCCAGTCTTGGGACTTGAACTCAGGGCCTGGGCGCTATCCCTGAGCTTCTTTTGCTCAAGGCTGGTGCTCTACCACTTGAGCCACAGCGCCACTTGCGGCTTTTTCTGTGGATGTGGTGCTGAGGAATCGAACCCAGGGCTTTGTGCATGCTAGGCGAGCGCCCTACCACTGAGCCACCTGCCCAGCCTCCCCCGGCCTCCTCCCCCTCAGACATTTAGACTCAACAATCCTTGAGTCTCCATAAAGATCTCTCTCTCTCTGCTGGACACCAATGGCTCATGCCTGGAATCCTAGCTGGTGAGATCGGGAGGATCGTGGTTCAAAGCCAACCCTTGCAGGCAGGTCCGTGAGACTCTGATCTCCAGCTAACCACCCCCCAAAAGCGGGGAGTGAGTTCAAGCCCCAGGACAGGCGCACACGCACACACGCACACGCATGCACACACACATGCACACGCACGCACACGCACGCACGCACACACACACGCACACGCACGCACCCCTGAGCCACTCACTTGCAGAGCCAGTCGTTGATGCCCCTGTCGAAGTGCCTGTGGGGGGGAGGGCAGGGGAGGTGAACGGAGGGCGGGGTGGGGCCCCGCCGCCCCCCCCCCCCCGTGGGCACTCACGTCTCCCCGAAGACGTAGAGCGCCGTGATGCACTTGGGCGGCGCGGGCGGCTGCAGGTGGTCCAGCCGCGCCACGGCGCCCACCACGCCGAACAGCACGGCCGCCTTCACCCAGTCGTACAGCAGGTTCGCGTAGGCCAGGCCCGCTGCGGAGGGACGGGCAGACGGACGCCGGGGTCACCGCCGCCGCCCTCGGGGGGTGGGGATGGGGTTCCCAATCCTGGGGGGAGGTCCTGAGCCGCCCTGCCCCCCCCCCCCCCCGCCGGGCCTGCGGACACGCCGCCCTCCCTCCTCCCTCCCCTTTACTCACGCCCTGTGGGGACACGCCCACTCGAAGACCACGCCCCTTCCAGCCTCCATTGAGAACAGCCCGGCATCTGACACGCCCCCTCGGCGGCCACGCCCCTTACCTTCCAGCCCCACCCGCCTCCATTGAGAACTGCCCTGCACCGGCCACGCCCACCCCGAGGCCACGCCCCTCTTCCAGCACATCCATCTCAATTAAGAATTCCCTGCGCCCAACACACCCTCTCAAAGGCCACGCCCCTCACAGCCCCACCCACCCCCATTGAGCACTGCCTACGTTAGACACGCCCACTCGAAAGCCACGCCCCCTCCCTTCCACCCCACCCTCCCCCATGGAGAACTGCCCGGCTTCTGGCACGCCCCCTTGAAGGCCACGCCCCTCCGAACCCCCATGAAGAACTGCCCACTCGACGGCCACGCCCCTCCCTTCCACCCCACCCTCCCCCATGGAGAACTGCCCGGCTTCTGGCACGCCCCCTTGAAGGCCACGCCCCTCCCTTCAAGCCCCACCTGCCTCCATTAACAACTGCCCTGCGTCGGACACGCCCACTCCAAGGCCACGCCCCTCCCTTCCAGCCACACCCGCCTCCATTAACTACCCTGAGTCGGACACGCCCACTCCAAGGCCACGCCCCCAACTAAGACCGGCCTGGGTACCGCAGGACAGACGGTTTGGGACGGACCCGGGCACCCTGCCTCCCGGGCATTTCCCGAGGATGCACCCCGGCTGCTGGCTCCCGCCCGTCATCCCAGCTACTCCAGAGGCGGAGGATGTGAGGATCACGGTTCGAAGCCAGCCCTGGGAGGTGTGACTCAAGTGGTGGAGCACCAGCCACAGCACACACCGAAAGAAGGAAGAAGGGAAAAGAGGAGGAGGAGGAGGAGGAGAGGGAGGGAGGGAGGAAGCCAGGGCCTCTCCTCCCGGGCCCCTGGGTGCTGTGTGCTTTGGGGGTGCAGAGCTATGTCCTCCCCTTCCCCCACCCCCTTGGGGCACCCACCGAGGGCGCTGTCTGGGAGGCGGCTGGCAAACTTGAGGTCACTAGGGATGGTGAGGATGTAGAAGAAGTGGAAGAAGATGTCCACTGCTATAATGGCCACCACGCTGACCCCCGCCTGGGCCCGGATCCGCCACAGCTCACCCTCGGCTCTCACTGGCTCCACCTGGCTCACCTGGGGGGGGAAGGGGGAGTTCCGAGTCTCTGAGAGGAAGAGCCCCCAGCCAGGGCTCCCAGGGCTGTCAGCCTAGGTACTCAGGAGGCTGAGATCCGGAGGATCGTGGTTCAAAACTGGCACAAAAGTCTATGAGACTTTTTTTACATCTCCAATGAAGCCAGCCCAAAGCTGGCCATGGAGGTGTGGTCCAAATGGTAGAGCACCATCAAGGCCTCGGTGCTGGGGGGGGAGGGTGGTCTGGGCTCACCTGCTCGTGGAAGCGGTCGAAGGTCATGACCGGCCCGAAGAAGAAGAAGGGCAGGTAGAAGTTGTACTTGAGGAGGTCGGCGAGGGAGTAGCGGCGGTCGGGATGGGCGCAGGCCTCCAGCGCGAAGCTGGTACAGCGTAGCACCGTGAAGCCGCTGCCCCCGTGGAACAGGATGTCTTGAAGATCAAAAGTGCCCGTGACGAACCCACTCTGGAGGGCAGGGAGGACGGGACACTGGCTCTCCAGGAGGGACCCCCTGGCTTCCCACAGGGCCACCCAGATGGAGTGAGAGACCGGCCGCGCACCCTGGCTTTGGTGGGGCTTGAACTCAGGGCCTGGGCACTGTTCCTGAGCTTCTTTGGCTCAAGGCTGATGCTCTACCACGTTGAGCCACAGTGCTACTTCGTGTTTTCTGGTGGTTCACGGGAGAGAAGAGTTTCAGGGACTTTCCTGCCTGGAGCTGGCCTCGAACTAGGATCCTCCAGATCTCAGCCTTCTGAGGAACTAGGAAGACAGGCATGAGCCACTGGCCTAAAGCAGCTCAGGGACAGTGCCCAGGCCCTGAGTTCAAGTCTCAGGACTGGCTAAGGAAAAGCAAAAAGTGAGAAGGGGCTGTTTGGAAAGAATCAAATAATTTGAGCCGGACGCTGGTGACTGATTGTCTGTCATCCCAGCTGCTCAGGAGGCTGAGATCCGGAGGATCGTGGTTCAAGGTCAGCCCCAGACAGGAAAGTCCCCGTGAGACTCTTCTCTCCCATGAACCACCAGAAAACCAGAAGTGGCGCCATATATATATATGGCTCAACGTGGTAGAGCATGCTTGCCTTGCATGAAAGCAGCAGTCCCCCCCAGGCCATGAGTTCAAGCCCCAGGACTGACCAAATGAAAACAAATAGAAGTGTTACATAATGGCAGGTTCTCTTCCCCCCCCCCCCCCAAGTCTGTACCTGCCAAGAGATGAGGGGGTCCATCTTGAAGGAGGCCAGGCTGGCTAGGCCAAGGCCCAAGCAGAGCCAGGGCTGGCGCAGAAGGGAAGCCACGTAGAGCCCCACGCAGTGGCCCAGGAGGAGCAGCAGGTACCACGGGCCCATCGTGCCGGCCACGGCCACCAGGCCGTACACGGCATACATCCAGGCACGCAGCTGTGGGGTGGGAGGGGGGGTGGAAAGGCTTCAGTGTGTGAGTGGGGAGCCCAGGGGTGAGTTTCCCAGCATCCTCTGAGGCTCACCTGGGGCGCAGCCATGGTGCACAGCTTTGCGAACAGCACGTGGCCCGACAGGGCGAAGACGATGATGTTGCGGAAGGATGTGAACCACATCACCCACTCGAAGTCCGCCACGTCCTGGGGGCGGGGGTGGGAGGGGGGGAGTGGGAGGGGGGTAAGGGAGGGGGAATCGCAAGACAGGCTGGACACGGCCCACGCCCTTGGCCCAGCCTCTGCTGCTTCCCTCCCTCCCTTTTTGGTTGGTCGTGGGGCTTGAACTCAGGGTCTGGGCGCTGTCCCTCAGCTCTTCAGCTCAAGGCGAGCGCTCTACCACTTGAGCCACAGCGCCACTCCCGGTTTTCTGGTGGTTCATTAGAGATCGGAGTCTCACGGCCTTTCCTGCCTAGGCTGGCTTTGAACCGCGATCCTCTAGATCTCAGCCTCCTGAGCAGCTGGGATGACAGGCGGGAGCCACCGACACGTGGTCTATGATTTTAACGATTAGAGGATCCATTTCCCAAGTGAGCAGGGCATGGGGGAGGAATGGAGCCCACAGAGGTGTGAGGTGCACTGTCTGGGGTAGCAGAGCCCCCCCCACCAGGGGACAGGGGCCGGGGGGGGGGGACGGGGGACCCACCATCTTCCGGCCGATGTACTCCCAGCCCGGCCGCACGGACTCGCGGAAGGTCTTCCTGCGGGCGCCATCTGAGGAGAGAGGACCGGCTCAGGGTGCGCACGGCCGGCTTCCCCCGGCCACCCGGCCCCCGGGAAGGGAAGGGGTTTACCCCAACCCCTCTGCTGGAGTTTGAGGCCACAGGGAGATGGGAGATCTGCATCTGGGCCTTTCTGGGTCTTGGGGTGTGTGTGTGTGTGTCCTGGCTTGTGTGTATTAGAATCCTGATTTGTGTGTGTGTGAGTCCTGGTGTGTGTGTGTGTGTGAGAGAGAGAGAGAGAGTGTCCTGGTGTGTATGTGTCCTGTCCTGCGTGTGTTAGAATCCTGATCGGTGTGTGTGTCCTGGACTGTGTGTATGTATTAGAATCCTGGCCTCTGTGTGTGTGTGTGAGTCCTGTTCTCCGTGTGTGTGTGTCCTGCCCTGCATGTGTGTGTTAGAATCCTGATCGGTGTGTGTCCTGGACTGTGTGTATTAGAATCCTGGCCTCTGTGTATGTGTTTGTGTGAGTCCTGGTCTGTGTCTGTGTGTCTGTGTGTGTGTCCTGGCCTGTGTGTGTGTTAGAATCCTGATCTGGATGTGTGTGTATGGTGTGTGTTAAGAGTCCTGATCTCCGTGTATGAGTCCTGGTCTCTGTGTATGTGTGTATAAAGTCCTGGTGTGTGTGTCTGTGAGTTCTGGCCTGTGTGTGCGTGTGTGTGTGTGTTAAGAGTCCTGGTCTTGTTAGTATGTGTTAAGGGTCTTGGTCTCCATGCATATGAGTCTTGGTCTCTGTGTATCTGTGTGTGCATGTTAGCGTTAGAATCCTGATGTGTGTGCGTCCTGGCCTGTGTGTGCATGTGTGTGTGTGTGTTAAAGTCTTGATCTCTGTGTGTGTGTCTCCACATCTCTGCAGTAGTACCTCTGTCCTTGTGTGTCCCCTGGACCAGGCCTTGGCCGCCTTGGGACTGGAGCCTGCCAGTTTCCAGCCCCGTTCCTGGGACCCCTGCGTCCCAGGGGGAGGGGTGGGGCCGTGGGGGACCCCATTGCCCCTACCCCGGGGCCCGGCATTACCTTGTGACGCCTCCAGGAGAGCCTGGCCGGCGTAGGCCAGAGCTCCACTCAGCACCAGGGAGTAGACGCCTAGCTCGGCCGCGGGCAGCGCCGTCTTGATACCCATGGCCTGGCCGGGCTGCGGGAGGAGGCCGGGCTGAGGCCGGTCTGAGGCCCTGCAGCCCCCAGGCCCCACTCAGGGACCCCAAGAGATGGATCGGTCCCCGCACCCCGCACTGGTGTGTGTGAAATGTGCCGGTCCGAGGGCTTGAACTCAGGGCCTGGGTGCTGTTCCTGAGTTTCTTTAGCTCAAGGCTCTACCACTTGAGCCATAGCGCCACTTCCGGCTTTTTCTGTGTCTGTAGGAGTGGGGAATCGAACCCAGGGCTTCATGCGTGCGAGGCAAGCACTCTATCGCTGAGCCACCTTCCCAACCCCGGAAGTTGTGCCATTTAAGGAGGAGCCCCGGAGAAGCCAGTGTGTGTTGGGGCCACACCGGGCCAGACCAGGCAGGGAGGGGACAGGGAGGCTGCTGGCCACTGTCCAAGGTGCTGACCAAGGTCAGGCCCAGGGTGAGACCCGAGCCAGGCACCCATGGCTCCCGCCTGTCATCCCAGCGACTCAGGAGGCTGAGATCTGAGGATCACGGTTCAAAGCCAGCCTGGGGTAGGAAAAGTCCCCATCAGACGCTTATCATCAAAAAGCTGGAATGGAGCCGTGGCTCAAGTGGTAGAGCACCAACCTTGAGCACAAAATACAAAAATTCAAGGACGGTGGCCAGGCTGGCCCTGGGACTAGCAAAGAAAAAAACAAAGAACTGGAAGAATAGAGAGGAGGTGTGTGTGTGTGTGTGTACACACAGAGTTCCTCCGAAGTCTCAGACTGAGTGAGGGTGCTACCTGACTATGCCCAGGTCAGGATGGGTGGTGAAGGGGGGGGTGGCGGCTGCCGGCTGGACTTGTGCAATGGTTGCCGGGACAGGACACTGTTATCAGCAGGGTGGAGGGGGGTGGATCGGGTTCACAGAACCGGGGCGCCTGAAACCAGAGCAGGGCGCCGGGCCCGCGTGGAACAGCTTTGTCAGCTGCCTCCCACGAGCCGCTTTCCAATTTTAGCTCCGGCCGGCCGAGCCGGGTCCCCCAAGCCGGACTCTGGGGGAGGAGCCGGCCCCCCTCTCCCTGCCCTGCCCCCCACCCTGCCTGGCACTTCTCCTTGGCTAGCCCCCCCCACCAGCCCCTCCCCAGGCCTACACCCCAAATCTGAGGACCCCCCCCAGTCCTTACCTGCCTCAGGTAAACCCCCCACCATGGAAAAAGCCACCTTGGGGGTGTGTGTGGGGGGAAGGGGGGTGCGGGTGGGAATCTGAGATCCAGAGTCTGGGGTTGGGGGGGAGACCCTCTCCTCCCCCCCCCGCCCCCTCCCCCAGCCCTCCCCCCAGCCCAGCCACTGACCTTGAGGTGGATTTGAGGGACACAGCTTGGTACGGCGGCTGTGGGTCTTTCTCTCTCTGTCTTTCTCTCTCTCTTGTGGACCCCTCCCCCTGCTGAAGTCCTGGGGTGTCCGGTCTCTGGGGTTCCCCACCCCACCCCCAGAGGCTAGATGGAATGACACAGGAGGGGGGGGAAGGGAGAGGAGGAGGAGGGAGCTGTCCTTCCCGCAGCGGGAGTTGGTGACAGAATGGAGCCGAGCCGCAGGCCGCAGGGAGCCGCGGGGGGGGGGGGGGGGGGGGGGAGGGGGGGGGAGGGGGAGGGCTGGCCACACCCGGGGGTGGGGGCGGGGAGGGGGGGGGCACCTGACCCTCACTTCCAGCCTGCACCCCTACCTCTAAAAGAGGGCCCAGGGTGGGGGGGAGGGCTTCGGGTTTCTGATGCTGGACGGGGCCGCCTCTTCCCGGAAGCCCTCCAGACTTGCTCCGTCCAGTCCCTTCCTGTGGGCCCCACGCGAGATCCCAGGGCTGGACCCCCCCCCCTCCCCACTTCCTCTGGAGCCCCACACCCCTGGAATTTGTTTTTGTCAGTCCTGGGGCTTGAACTCAGGGCCTGGGCGCGCTGTCCCTGAGCTGCTTTTTTCTCTTTGCTCAAGATTGGTGCTCTACCACTTGAGCCACACCTCTACTTGTGTTTTTTGTTTTTTCTGGTGACTCATTAAAGAGTCTCATGGACTTTTCCTGCGCGAGCTGGCCTAGAACTCCGATCCTCCAGATCTCAGCCTCCTGAGATCTGGTCCGGTTGTGGGGCTTGAACTCTGGGCCTGGGCGCTGTCCCTCAGCTCTTCAGCTCAAGGCTAGCGCTCTACCGCTTGAGCCACAGTGCCACTTCCAGCTTTTTTCTTTTTGCTTATGTGGTGCTGAGGAATGGAACCCAGGGCCTCAGGCATGCAAGGCAAGCGCTCTACCACTGAGCCACCGTCCCAGCCCCTCTTCTCCTTCTTTCTATGGCAGGTAGGAGCCTCACGGGCTTTCCCTGCCCAGGCTGGCCTCAGATCACCATCCTCCGCCCTCAGCCTCCTGAGCCGCTAGGATGACAGGTGGGAGCCGCCGGTGCTCGGCTCCCGCCTAGCTTCATTCTGAGGCCGGAATCCTCCCCTGTGAGGGCCCCTTCACCCCCAAACCCCCTGCGCTACCCTCACCCCCAGGCCCCGCCGTGTGGTGTGTCATTCCCACCCACAGTGATCCAGAGTGGGTTAGGAAAATCGCCATTATTATTACAAGTCTGGCAGAGGTTGGGGGGGGGAGGGGGAGTGTGAGGGTGGGGGCTGGCCAGTGGGTGGGCAGGGCAGGGCTGGGCTTGGGGGGGGGGGGCGTACCAGCTGCAGGGCCAAGTTCCCAGCCCTGGACACTAAGGGCTCTCCTGTAGGCCCCTGGCCCCTGGGGGAGGGAATCAAGTCTACTGGATGACAGACAGTTCCAGCGTCCAGTGGGGGGGCCAGGCCTGGGGGCTTGTCCCGCCCCTGGGGTGGGAGGCGTGGCCTCTAGTCCCTCTGTGTGGCAGATGCAAGGGCCCTGGGGCCGGGCCTAGCTCCTCTCGGCCTTCTGCTGCCTCAGGGCCTGCAGGAAGACGCCCTTGACCTGGCCCAGCGTCTCGTGGTACACGCGGAAGTCCTCCTCCTTGCCCCGTAGGGCGCTGCCCAGCGCCGCCCTCAGCATCTCGTTCTCCTCTGCCAGGATGGCCAGCCTACATCATGGATCACCAGAGAGGCCTGAGTGGGGCTGGGAAGGCGGCTCAGAAGCCCCGGGTTTGATTCCTCAGGGCCACAGGCATGGAAAAAGTCCCAAGTGGCGCTGTGGCTCAAGTGGTAGAGCGCCAGCCTTGAGCACAGAGAAGCTCAGGGACAGCGCCCAGGCCCTGAGTTCAAGTCCCAGGACTGGCAACAAAATCAAAGAGTCTCATGGACTTTCCTGCCCGAGGCTGGCTTAGAACCACGATCTTCAGATCTCAGCCTCCTGAGTAGCTGGGATGACAGGCGTGAGCCACCGGGTGCTGGGCCTGGTCCTTTCTCATTGTCCTGACTGATCTCATATAAAGGCACCTGGGCCGGGCACCGGTGGCTCACGCCTGTCATCCTAGATACTCAGGAGGCTGAGATCTGAGGATCGTGGTTCAAAGCCAGCCTGGGCAGGCAAGTCGGTGAGACTCTCATCTCCAATAAACACCAGAAAAGTAGAAGTGGCGCTGTGGCTCAAGTGGTAGAGCGCTCACCTTGGGCTGAAGAGCTGAGGGACAGCGCCCAGGCCCAGAGTTCAAGCCCCACAATGGACCAAAAAACCAAAGACAAAATCCTGCCCCACCACACCCCCCTGTAAGACCAGCCTTCTGATACAAAAGGTTCCAGGAGCACTACTGCCCACTCCTTCCCAGATATCTCTGCCCTTTCAGGAAGCAGGGGGGGGGGGCACAGTGGGGAGGAAGGGTTAGTACCTAGTGGTCAGTTCCTGGACCTGGGATTCCGCAGGTACATCCGAGAGCTCGGTGGCAGAAGACAGGTCTTTCCTCTCTCTGCTAGCTGGATTGTGTTTGGTGGTGGAGGAAGGTGCACCTGCGGGGCCACGGCAGCCACTTTGTGCCACAAGGCCAGAAACCCCCACCTGCACTCCTACCCCACCTCCAACCAGGGCTTTCTGTTTTCCTTTTCTCCTGCTGTGGCTCAAGGGGGTCAAGCGCCAGCCTTGAGCCAAAGCAGCTCAGGGACAGAGCGCAGGCCCTGAGTTCAAGTCCCAGGGCCGGCATCTCCCCCCCACCCCTTACCCCCCTCCTCCCAGGGGCCTCGCTACCTGCTTTGTTCCTGGAGGCTTTCTGCGAGGTCCGGCCGGACTCCAGGCGGTTCTTCTCCAGCCTCTGCTCCAGGACCACGGCGCGTTGCCTCTCCTCCTGGAGCCTCCGCTCAGCCTCCAGGAGTCTGCTGCTGCTCTCCTCCACCCTGGGCGGTTTACAGTGGGGGGCTGCAGGGCCAGGTTGGGGGCGCGGCCTTGCGCCCCCCCCAATCCAGGCAGCTAGCTCACTGCCATAGATCCCAGCTACCGGGGAGGCAGAGGGGGGGAGGATCACGATTTGAAGCTGGCTCTCATTCGCTTGTTTGTTGGTTCGTTCGTGTGGGTCACACAGGAACCCCGAGTTTAAAAAGACCACAACGACAAAAATCTGGGGGTTTGGGGGAGGCTGAAGGGGGGAGAGGGGAGTTTCCAAGCCCACTGGAGGTCGTGGGGAAGGAAGCCAGCTCTCTCGGCAGGAGCGGACTGCGATCTTCCTTTTCTGCGGAGCTCAGACCACGATCCTCCTGATTGTGGCTAAAGCAAAGGCAGGCTGGCCCCGACTCAGTCTCCAGGCCCGGTCTCTGCATCACCCACAATCGGCACACCCCTCTGCTTTTAGGGCCCCCGTGCCCACAGATGGAGGCCACCTGCTAATCCCGGATCATCTCCCCCTCTACGTTAGCATCCGTCACGATGGGTCCATCTGCACAAATCCTCTTTGCTCCGTAAAATCAAGTGCTCACAGACCCAGCGGCGGGCAGCACAGAGCACATGATCACAAGACCATCCCGCCGTCCCCAGGGGGAGACATTTGGACAATTACTTGGCGCTGAGACCTGAAATACACTCGTGATCCTATTTCCTTTTCCTTTCTTTCTTTGTGCCAGTCCTGGGACTTGAACCCAGGGCCTGGGCACCATCCCTGAGCTTCTTTGTGCTCAAGGCTGGTGCTCTACCACTTGAGCCACGGCGCCGCTTCTGGTTTTTTTTTTTTTCTGTGACTGTGGTACTGAGGAGCTGAAGAGCTCAGAGACGGTGCCCGGGCCCAGAGTTCAAGCCCCACAACTGACAAAAGAAACAAAAAAAAAGAATTCGTACTGGCACGAATAGCAACTCTGATCTGAGCAAATTTGCTGAGTAGCAGAAGATGATGCATAATGTATAACCTCGCTTAAAAATTTATTACAGGCTGAAAACTGAAAAACAGAAATAGAAGGCTGCTGTTACTCAGTGGAGACACAGCAGCGAATGGGAAGAAGTTGCAGCTCTTTTTTGTTCAGTCCTGGGGCTTGAACTCAGGGCCTGGGCGCTGTCCCTGAGCTTCTGGGTGGGTGCTCTACCACTTGAGCCACAGCACCACATCTGGCTTTTTCTGTATATGTGGTGCTGAGGAATTGAACCCAGGGCTTCACGCATGCTAGGCGAGCACTCTAACCACTGAACCACCTGCCCAGCCCTGAGTTTTTCTTTTCCATTCAAGGCTGGCGCTCTACCACTTGAGCCACGCCTCCACCTCAGCCTTTTTGGCTGGTTCTATTGGAAATAAGAGTCTCATGGACTTTTCCTGCCCTGGGCTGGCCTCGAACTGTGATCCTCGGCTCTCAGCCTCCTGGGTAGCTTAAGGATGGATGACCGGTGTGAGCCACCAGACGCCCAGCCTAAGAGTTCTTGCTACGAGGCTCTCTGTTGCTCTTGTCTTGCTCTGACCCTTGGACTTGTGGAAACAAACACAAAACAAAACAAAACAAACCCCAAATCTCCCTTCCACTTAATTGGGCAGAACTGGTTTCTCCGATCTTCAAAGAGTTCCACCGGATACTTGATCCCGGTGACTCTCAGCGGTGTCCTTTGTATTTTTTTTTTTTAACCCAGGGAGGAGGTCACATGGCTGAGCCACATGCTGGTCTGGGAACCTGCATTTCTTGCCAAGAAGGCCACTTGAGCAAGGAGCCCTGATTTATTTTGGCAGAGAGGTCAGCATCCTTTGGAGCTAAGCAGCTTTCCCGCAGTGCTCTTGTGTTTTTGCTTTTGCTCTTGTGGTTTTGTTTTGTGCCAGTCCTGGGGCTTGAACTCAGGGCCTTGAGCTCTTGTTTGGCTTTTTTGTTGTTGTTGTTGGTTGTGAGGCTTGAACTCTGGGCTTGGGCACTGTCTCTGAGCTCTTCAGCCCAAGGTGAGCGCTCTACCACTTGAGCCACAGCGCCACTTCTGGTTTTCTGGTGGTCCATTGGAGATCAGAGTCTCACGGACTTTCCTGCCTGGGCTGGCTTTGAACTGTGATCCTCAGATCTCAGCCTCCTGAGTAGCTGGGATGAGAGGCGTGAGCCATCAGCCCTGTATCCCCCAGCTGGGGGATGAGAGAGCTCGCGGGGTGTCCCCTGGTTACCGTTTCTGCAGGACGGTCACAAACTCCTGGAGCCGATCGCGCTCCACTTCGGTGGCCTGCCACAGGGCCTTGATCTCTGCCACCTGGGCCTGCCAGCCTTTGTGCTCTGGGGAGTCTGAGAACCTGGGGTGAAGGTGGAAGGCAGAGAGAGGAGGTCGTGAACAGCTGAAGATAACTGCTGGGAAGGTGGCTCAGTGGTTAGAGTGCTTGCCTCGCATGCAGGAAGCCCCGGGTTCAATTCCTCAGGACCACATCCACAGAAAAGGCCGGAGGTGGCACTGTGGCTCAAGTGGTAGAGCGCCCGGCCTTGAGCAAAACGAAGCTCAGGGAATGGCACCCAGGCCCTGAGTTTATTAAATAGCCCCAGGACCCCCACAAGATAAAATTCAAAGGAAGTGGGTCTGGGCGCACTGTAACTGGAGCTGACCGCCCAAGTGCAGCTCCGATGACAGAAGACGGGGTTCAGAAGCAGGGGGGACAATGCCGCCCTCTGTCCACCATTTTGGCACTGAGAACACAGGACCCATTGATTCCCTGAGGCTTCATTCTCTATCAGACACGGCCGAAGAGCCGAGCCAAGGGTATCAGTGACAGACTGGGGACTGGGATGATTTAAAAGCTCCCCCCACCCCCACCACCCCAGGTCAGGGAAGGTACTAGAAGCCAGAAGGGCCTCATGCTTCCTCTAGCCAGGTCTTCAAGGCTGAAGTCACCTGATTCCCCCTAGGACCCTCACCCCAAGTTCCTCATCTTTGTCACCCCACTTTTTATTTTTTGGTACTGCTAGTCCTGGGGTTTGAACTCGGGGCCTGGGCTGGTGCTCTACCCCTTGCACCGCTTCCGGCTTTTTTCTGGGGATGGGGTGTGGAGGAACCAAACCCAGGGCCTTCGTCCATGCTAGGCGAGCGCTCTACCATGGAGCCACCTTCCCAGCCCCCATCTTTGGGCTCTTGAGTGGAGGGGTACGGGTAGGGGGTGGGGGGGGGGCAGGTGCGTACCTGGGCGAGGTCTGGTGAGGGCTGGGCAGGGAGGGCCTGGTGAGCGCCGATTCCACCAGTGTGTGGCCGAGGCTGGACACAGAGCTGGACAAAGACGCGGCACGGGATCCGTCAGAAATGGGGGACCCGGGGTGGGGGAGCTTCTGGGGCCTCATTTCTGCATGTGAGCTCCACTTCTGGCTTTTTCTTGGGGGTGGGGGGATTGCTGGGAGATCGGTATGGCATTTGCAGGAGCCTTATTGTTGTCAGGGTCCTGACCCCAGGGGACAAAGGGCCTTTGAGCGACAGATCACTGGGTGTCTTTGAGGGTCTGAGGCCAGCCCAGAGAGGCTGTCACGCAAGCCACTGTCACCCAGCAGTGATGTGAACAAATGGCCCCGTGGGTGGGCTCTTGTTAGGGAAAAAGAGGAACAGGCTTGGGATAAGGGTTTACAAAATGGAAGGTTTTTGTCTTACAGGGGGTGTGAAGTGGGGGTGTGGGGGGGATGTGGGGGGTGTGCGTGTGTTCAAGATGGAATTACAACATGCTACTAGACTGCTCACGCAGTAGCCGAGGGTACGGAAGGGTGTATCTTGAAATGACTTGTGAACTGTTCATCTTCAATCAGCTTATGTAACTGTGTTTGAGCCTTTCACACTAGCCATTCCCAAGCGGACTGTGAACCTGAGCTCAGCCAATCGGAGCAGAGGGGCAGGGCCTGCTGCATGAGAAATAACCTACGCAAATCCAATTTCGCCATCTAGAAGCTAGCCAATTGTGAGCAGACGGAACCTGAGCTCAACCAATCCGAGCAGAGGGGCAGGGCCTGCTGCATGAGGGATAACCTATGTACATATGTTTGACCTTACTCAAACCAGCCAATCAGGAGCAGACTGTGAATATGAACTTAGCCAATCCGAGCAGAGGGGCGGGGCCTGCTGCATCAGGGATAAATAGGGGGGGCTGGCCAGCCTGCTCTGAGTCGCTTGCTTGCCTGATCTCTGACTGATGGCCGCGCCCTTCTGCGCAGAAGTAACTTTGCCTGGCTGAGGCGACTCTTGTGTTTTCCTGGCTATCACGGTGGCGATTCCAGTGGGTGGATTTATCATTGTGATCGCAGATTAATCAAACCAGACCACCCCCCCCCCGACCCTGCCAAGCCCCCCCCAACCCACCATATTCTCTTACCGGGAAGATCCCAACCGGCCGGCATGATCGCCCGAGGAGCCCGGACACTTGCTGAAGCCCTGGTCCTCCGAGACCCTGGTGTGGGCAAGGCTGACCTCAGGACCACCGGCTCCCTCGCCCAGGCCTTTATTCCGAGGATACTGCAGGGAGACAGCGTGCTCAGGGCTGGGCACAGAGGCCGGGAAGAAGTGGGGGTGGGTGGGAGCTGGGGGGGGGGGGGACTCGGATTGATTTCCGGCTTTCAGGGGATATGAAAAGGGGCTTGTTTTTTCGGGGGACCAACAAAGAGAACAAATCAGGCTGGCTAGATTGGGAGGAATGACTTGGAGGCCAATGACTTGGAGAAAGGGAGCCACAGCGCCACTTCTGGCCTTTTCTGTGTATGTGGTGCTGAGGAATCGAACCCAGGGCCTCATGCATGCGAGGCGAGCGCTCTACCACTGAGCCACCTTCCCAGCCCTCCTCTAGGGTCTCAGCTTAACTCTTACTTCCAAGTAAACTGTCCTTCTGCTCCTGCTTTTTCTCGCCTCATTATTCTATCTGGGTGGAATTCTTCGTGGAATTCTGTTATTTTAACTTTCAACTAGTTTGGCTCTTGTAGTAAAGGTCCCAAATAATTCTGTGTGTGTGTGTGCATATGCGCACACGTGCAAGTTCTAGGGCTTGAACTCAGGGCCTGGGCGCTATCCTTGAGCTCTTTTGCTCTAGGCTGGTACTCTACCACTTGTGCCACAGCCCCACTTCCGGTGTTTTTTGCTGGTTCACTGGAGATTGGAGATAAAAGAGTCTCATGGACTTTCCTACCCGGGCTGCCTTTGAACTGCAATCCTCAGAGCTAGCATCATGAGTAGCTAGGATGACAGGCGTGAGCCACCGGCGCCTAGCAAGCTGTCAACTTCGTACCCTAGTTTCTTGTGGCCTTTCCTTCAATTCTTTGTCAGATGAAGGCAACAAAACTGAAGCTTTCCCTCAAAAATGGTGTCAGAACTCCAAAGTGCAAGGACTTGAACCCGGATACAGGAAGCTGCTCTGTATCTGAGTCCCAAAGGGAGTTCAGAGCCTTGTGTTGGGCTGGACCCTGGTGGCTCACGCCTGTCATACTAGCTACTCAGGAGGCTGAGATCTGGAGGATCGCAGTTCAAGGCCAGCCTGGGGAAGGAAAGTCCATGAACCTCTCATCTCCCATGAACTGCCCCCCCCCAAAAAAAAAACCAGAAGTGGTGCTGTGGCTCAAGGTGGTAGAGCGCTGGCCTTGAGCAGAAAAAGCTCAGGGATGGAGCCCAGGCCCTGAGTTCAAGTCCTAGGACTGGCACAAAATAACAACAACAACAACAACAATAATAGTAATGGCAGGGTGGTGAAGCTGAGGAATCTCCAGCAAGGCAGGGATTACCACATGGGCCATCACATAGCCCTCTGGGGCCCTCCGCCATTCCCCTGGGGAATGACAGCTGCAGGACAAAGCAGGTGGCCCCCAGGCTGGGGGAGGGGGAGGGCGGGCCCTGGAGCCTAGGACAGCAGAAGCGGATTGTTCTGGGGTCTATCTCCGACTGTGCCGTTCAACCCCCACCCGGTGCAGCCCTGAGCTGTGAGGCTCCTTTGTCTCAGACAGCCTCCTGTGCCTGGCACAGAATTTTTCTCCCAGAAGCCACTAGTTCTCCCTCCCTCCTCCCTGCATAAGCCCCCGCCATGGGAGGGGGGGAAGTGCCATCGAGCCCCCAAAGTGTCCAGAGTGGCACCATGAGGCAAAAGAGGTGTGGGAGGCAGCCCGGGCGCTGGTGGCTCACGCCTGTCAGCCTAGCTACTCAGGATGCTGCGATCTGGAGGATTGCGGTTTGAGGCCAGCCCGGGGGTGGGGGGGGCTAGATAAGTCTGTGAGACTCTGATCTCCAAGGAATCTCCTCCCCCCACACCCTGGTCAGGAAACCGGAAGTGGCGCTGTGGCTCAAGTGGTAGAGTGCTTGCCTTGAGCTGAAGAGCTGAGGGATGGCGCCCAGGCCCAGAGTTCCGGCCCCAGCTCTATGAGCCGGCGCACTAGCTGCTCACCTGCTTGCTCAGCGGGCATGCTCGCTGCTCACCTGCTTGCTCAGCGGGCATGCTCGCTGCTCACCTGCTTGCTCAGCCGGCGCGCTCGCTGCTCACCTGCTTGCTCAGCGGGCGCGCTCCCTGCTCAACTGCTTGCTCAGCCGGCACGCTCGCTGCTCACCTGCTTGCTCAGCCGGCGTGCTCACTGCTCACCTGCTTGCTCAGCTGGCCGATCTCCAGCTCCAGCTGCCGCACCTTGTCTTCCCGCTCGGCCACCATGGCCCGCAGCTGGGCCACGAGGCTGCTGCTCCGCTGCGCCTCGCTGTTGGCCCTCTGGTCCTCGGTGTGCTGGGACTTGCGCAGTTTCTCCTCCTGGAGGCTCAGGCTGCCCAAGATCTCTTGTAACTGCTTCAGCTGCTCCTGGAGGGGGGGGGGCGGTGGGGCAGGGGTCAAGCCAGGTGCCCCCTCTTCTCCTGTCCTCAAATCCCCTCTTTTCCTGGCCAGTGGGGGCCACATTAGCTGAGGTTTCCCCCCTCTCCCGGCAGGGAGGGCAGGATCACCAAAAGAAACCGGGGCTGGGAGGGTGGCTCAGTGGTAGAGCGCTCGCCTAGCACGCAGGAAGCCCTGGGTTCAAGTCCTCAGGGCCACAGACACAGAAAAAAAGCCAGAGGGGTGCTATGGTTCAGGTGGTAGAGCGCCAGCCTTGAGCAAAAAGCAGCTCAGGGACAGTGTCTAGGCCCTGAGTTCAAGCCCTGGGACTGGCAAAAAAAAAAAAAAAAAAGTCGGATCCCACCAGGCTAGCCGGTGGCTCATGCCTGTCACCTGAGCTACTCAGGAGGCTGAGCTCTAGAGGATTGTGGTTCAAAGCCAGCCCAGGCACGGGAAGTCTGAGATCTTTTCAAGAAGTTGGATGAGGAGGTGTCCCCCAAGTGGTAGAGCACCAGCCTAGAGCACAAAGGCTCAGGGAAAGCAGCCAGGCTCTGAGTTCAAGCCCCAGGACCAGTACACACACACACACACACACACACACACACACACACACACACACACACACACACACACACACACAAACACACACACACACAGCCAACCGCTGGCCTGGCCGGAGTATCTGGCTGGGTACCATGAGCGCGTCGATGAGTTCGTCGTCATGTTTGCCCTTTTCCACCAGGGTCGCCATCTGGCTCTTGAGCGTCTTTACTTCGTTCGACAGCACCTTGTTGCGCGATTTCATGGCCTCCAGCTTCTTCTTCAGTTCCTCCAGCTCCCGCTGGAGGGCATCGCGTTCACCTGCGAGCTTCTGCGCGGTTGAAGAAAGGGAGAGAGTGAACCAGCGGGCCAGCGGCTCGCGTCTGTCATCCCAGACACTCAGGAGGCTGAGATCTAGAGGACTGCAGTTCGAGGCTGGGAAAGTCCGTGAGACTCTGATCTCCAAGGAAGCACCAGAAAACCCCAAGTAGGGGGTGTGTGGCTCCTGCCTTGTACTTGCAAGGCCCTGAGTTCAAATGTCAGGAACTGGCACGCACACACACACACACACACACACACACACACACACACACACACACACACACACACACACACAGTGTTTTAGATGCAGAAGCTAGATGTAAAATATTCCAGGAAGTGGAAATGAGGTTCACTTTCTTTTCTTTTTGTCTTGTTTGCTCTTCTGGGAGAGACAAAGGGTGAACAAAGGCAGCCCTGGTCCTCACGGGACATGATGTGGAAAATGGACTCTATAAGTTGTGGGTGGGGAACAGGAGGGAAAAACTGGGAGAGAGCGAGGGAAGAGGGGAGACATGGTCCAAAAAAAGAAATGTACGGGCTGGGAAGGTGGCTCAGTGGTAGAGTGCTTGCCTGGCATGCATGAGGCCCTGGGTTCGATTCCCTGGTGCCACATACACAGAAAAAGCTGGAAGTGGCGCTGTGGCTCAAGTGGTAGAGCGCTAGCCTTGAGCTATAGAAGCTCAGGGACAGCGCCCAGGCCCTGAGTTCAAGCCCAGGATTGGCCAAAAAAAAAAAAAGAACTTAATACATGACTTATGGAACTGTAACCCCGCTGTATATCTTTAGAATAGCAATAGTTTTTTTATTTTATTGTTTTGGTGGTGCTAGGACTTGTTTTTTTGTTTTTGTTTTTGGGTCCAGTCCTGGGGCCTGAACTCTGGGCCTGGGCGCTGTCCCTCAGCTCTTCAGCTCAAGGCTAGCACTCTGGGGTTTGAACTCAGGGCCTGGGTGCTGTCCCTAAGCCTCTTTGGTGCTCAAGGCTAGTGCTCTACCACTTGAGCCACAGCGCCACTTTGGGTTTTCTGGTGGTTCATTGGAGATAGGAGTCTCTAGGATTTTCCTGCCTGGACTGGCTTTGAATCACGATCCTCAGATCTCAGCCTCCTGAGTAGCTAGAAACACAGGTGTGAGCCACCGGTGCCCGGCCCGCCCCCCCCCCCCAAATTAAGTTATTTTAGGTACAGCATCCTCCATTTTCCAAAATGGGCCCCCAAAGTTCACTGAATGGGCTAGGGGAGACCCCAGACCCATGGCTCAAGATGGGTTGACAGGAAACCAGTGATCTACCGAGAAGAGCTGGGGTATCTTGGCTCTAAGAGCTCTAAGTGAGGGCTTTGGGGATCCTTAGCTGCCAATGGCCCTCACAAGTGGGGGTGCTGATCTGGATCTCAGTGTCTACCCCCAGTTCCTCCCCTCTCCCCCTCCCCGCCCAGCTGGCCCTCCCCCCCCCCCCCCCCCACAGGGCCTGCCCTGACCTCCCAGCTCTCCTGCTTCTCCCTTTCCAGGCTGCGGATCCTCAGCAGGTTTTTGTCCTGTGCCGACAGCTTCTTCCTGTCTTGGTAGTTGGGGGGCGCCTCGCTGGCCGTCTCCGTAGACCTGCCCTGCGTCTGCCCCAGCTGCTTCTCCAGCTCTCGGACCTGAGGGCGGTGGAGGAGGGGAACACGCACTGGTAGGCTGGGAAGGTGGCTCAGTGGTAGAGCGCTTGCCTTGCATGCATGAGGTCCTGGGTTCGATTCCTCAGCACTGCATACGCAGAAAAAGCCAGAAGTGGCGCTGTGGCTCAAGTGGTAGTGCGCTCGCCTTGAGCTGAAGAGCTGAGGGACAGCGCCCAGGCCCAGAGTTCAAGCCCCACGACCGACCAAAACTAAAACCAACACAAAACCAGATATTACGGTGTTCCTATACCATGGTGTTGGGTGGGAAGATCTGAGTTAGCCCCTTGGATCACGCCTCTAGTCCCAGCATCCCAGCTACTCGCCGAGACTATATTACTACTACTACTATTGTTATTATTAGTCAGTCCTGGGGCTTGAACTCAGGGCCTGGGCGCTGTCTCTGAGCTTCTTTTGCTCAAGGCAAACGTTCTACCACTTGAGCCACAGCACCACTTCTGGCTTTTTCTGTGGATGGGGTACTGAGGAATCGAACCCAGAGCCTCATGCAAGCACTCTACCATTGAGCCACCTTCCCAGACCTTTACTTCTTCTCTTGAGAACCATCCTTTCAGTTCATTTTCCCACCCCTTTATTGGGTGATTTGTTCTTACTATTTTTATGATTTGTGCTGGAACTGGGACTTGAACTCAGAGCCTAGGCATTGTTCCTCAGCTTTTTAAAATTTTTATTTATTTATTTTATTTTGGTTGGTTGTGGGGCTTGAACTCTGGGCCTGGGCACTGTCCCTCAGCTCTTCAGCTCAAGGCGAGCGCTCTACCACTTGAGCCACAGCGCCACTTTGGTTTTCTGGTGGTTTATTGGAGATAAGAGTCTCACGGACTTTCCTGCCTGGGCTGGCTTTGAACCGTGATCCTCAGATCTCAGCCTCCTGAGTAGCTAGGATGACAGGCGTGAGCCACTGGCGCCCACCAGCAGCTTTTTTTTATTTTTGCTCAGGACTGGTGCTCTTCCGCTTGAGCCACAGCTCAAGTGAACTCAGTGGAGTTCATGCCAGTAAACACTGACAATTCTTTTTTTTTTTTTTAATTCCCACCCTCTACCCGGAGCTGCCATTGCTGTTGATTTCCAGGATCTCATGGTAGACCCCCCCCCTCCCCAAGAATGAAGGCCATCAGAAATAATGACCCCAAAGTTCCAGGGGGTGAAAATAAATAGTATTTTAGCCATAATAATAATAATAAATCACGCGCATTCTCGCGTGTTTTTCCTGCTGAAGGGCGGGAGGGATGGGGCTCTAGCACTGCCGGCTGCTTCACGCACGCTAACAATTCTCCCCATTCACAGGTAGGAAGACTGAGGTCTGGAGAGGCCGTGGGGTGCCCGGGGTTCGCAGAGCAGGAAGAGGGAGGAAGAGAGGGAGGGCTGGGCCTCCTCTTTGCCCGTAGCTGCTGCTGGTATGTATCAAAATATTTAGGAGAGAGAGAGAAAGAGGCTAAGTTTCATTGGCTCATGAAAACTTCCAAAAGATTCCAAGTCTCTGGACCAAACTAACGGAGCAGGGGGTGGAGAGAGGGAGAAGAATCCAAATACAACAGACTCGCAGATTTCCAGAAACTTGTGTGTGGGGGGGGGGCGGTGTGGGGGGGGAATTCCAACCAAAGAGCTTGGCGTTGTTTCCGTTGCCAGTGCCTGGCATGGGGGTGGGTGTGACACGTGTGTTTGTTCGTGAAGTGAGCAAATTAAAAGCAGGCTGGGCTGGGGAGATACTATGTGTCTCTGCTATGTGTTCTGCAGGTTTTCTACCCCCCCCCCCCCACACACACACAGAGCAAGCCCTGTACTCAGGGCCGCCTGCCGGCCAGCTGCTCACCTTGCCCTGCAGAACAAGGATCTGCTGGGCCCGGCCCCGCCAGGCCCCGGGCGACCACAGGAGCTGTTGAATGTTGACGTCCTCGCCAACTTCGCTGACCAGAACCTGCAGGGGAGCAAGGTGTTCGGTGTGGCTGAGACAGACAGACAGAGCCAGAGACAGGGAGGAGAGAGAGACAGAAAGGAGAGACAGACAGACAGACAGATACAGAGGGGAAAGAGTGACAGAGACAAGAGAGACAGACAGAAAGGCAAGAAAGAGGGCTGGGAAGGTGGCTCAGTGGTAGAGCGCTTGCCTTGCATGCCTGAGGCCCTGGGTTCGATTCCTCAGCACCACAGAAGCAGAAAGAAAAAAGCCGGAAGTGGCGCTGTGGCTCAAGTGGTAGAGCGCTAGCCTTGAGGTGAAGAGCTGAGGGACAGCACCCAGGCCCAGAGTTCAGACCCCATGACCGGACCCCCCCCCCCAAAAAAAAAAAAAACAGAGAGGAGGGAGAGACAGAGACAGAGAGGAGAGACAGAACAGGGAGGGGAGTCATCCAAGAGTCAATGCTGGGTGCGGGGCTCCTGGAAGGCCCCAGCCTTCACGCCCTCTGCTCCCCCTCCCCCTCCTAGCCTTAGAGGCAGGGCCTCCACAGGCCAGCCTCCGACGCTTTCCCAGGCCAGCTCTCCCTTGGGGAAAGACGAGACCGTCACCTCCACCATCTCCTAAGTGATATTTAGAGTATCCAAGGAGTGGCCAGCAGGGCCCAGCCCGGGCCCCTCCCTCGCCTGCCCACCCACCTTCCCTCCCTCCCTCCCTCCTCTCCTCTCTCTCTTTTCGGTGTTGCTACTGGGGCTTAAATGCAAGGGTCTCGCACTTTTGCCTTTTTTTTTGCTCAATGCTGGTGCTCTAATGCTGGAGCCAACACTCCACTTCTGAATTTTTGTTTTTGTTCTGGCAGTTTGTTGAAGATCAGTCTCTCGGAACGTGTCTGCCTGCACCGGCCTCCAATCACAATCCTCAGACCGCAGCCTCCGGAGCTGGGAGGACAGGTGTGAGCCAGTGGTATCCAGCTGGGACCTCTTTGCTCCTGATGTGTTGGGCCTTGCTTGGATCATGCAAGTTTCCAACGTCTGCTGCTGCTTTCAGCCTGGTCCGTGAGACACTTATCTTCCATGGAACCACCAGAAAACCAGAAGTGGTGCTGTGGCTCAGGTGGTAGAGCGCCCGCCTTGAGCAAAAAGCAGCTCAGGGACAGTGCCCAGGCCCTGAGTTCAAGCCCTACGACCGACAAAAGAAAACCCAACAGCAGTGCATTCCAGCTTTGTCCCCTGGGCGCCTTGGAAGCCGGGGCTTGGATTCCCACCTGGCAAGCTAAGTCTCTGGCCCTTGTGTCCACAGTAGAACATTGTTCTGGAACTCTTGGCGCGTCTGAGTGGTTCTAGCAGAGGAGGTGGATGCCAGAGGATCCACTGTGTCCGTACAAATCAACCACCACGCAGCTGGGCCCTGCTGGGCCTGTGCCCCAAGTCTGAGCATTTTTTTTTCCCTTTGGAAGGAGTCTTTTTGTTGCTGTTTTGGGTGCAGGTCCCGGGGCTTGAACCCATGGCCTGGGATCTGTCCCTGAGCTTCTTTCGCGCAAGGCGAGCGCTCTTGAACCCCAGCGCCACTTTCCGGTTTCTTGGTGGTTCATGGGTGATCAGAGTCTCACTGTTCTTTTCTGGCCCCCTCCACCCCCCTTAATCGGGGGCGCTGGCTTGAGAACCAAGATCCTCTGGATCTCAGCCTCCTGAGTAGCTGGGATGGTGGGCTCGGAACCCAGAGTTGGGGATGGGGGGTGGGGGGGGTGGGATTGGAGGCAGCCAGACAAGAAATCCCAAGCCCTGCCTTGGTAAAGAACCTTCTGGGTCATCCGCAGCTCCTGCCTCATGGACTGGATTTGGTTCCGCAGTTCGCTCATCTTCAGGTTGGTGGCAGCCAGCTTTTCCTGCAGTGCCTTGACCTCTGGAGTCTCTAGTTGTGGCTATGGGGGGGGGGGGGGGAGGGGGGAAGGGGGGAGGGAGAGGGGGAGGGAGGGGCAGGACAGGAAGTGAGGTCACCGGCTGCCTTGACAGTAGTGATCATCATAAGGTCTCCTGTCCCGTCGCCAACCCAGGCCTTGACATGGAGAACATGGAACGAATCTGTGCCCGTCCTGGGACTTGAACTCAAGGCCTCAGCCTGCTGTCCCTGAGCTTTGTTTTGTTTGCATCCAAGGCTGGTTGGTGCTCTACCACTTGAACCACAGCCCCGTTTCCAGCTTTCTTTTTTTGAGGGGGTGGTTCATTGGAGATTAAAAGAGTCTCGTGGAGCGGGGGCGCTGCTGGCTCAATGCCTGTCATCCTAGCTACTCGCGAGGCTGAGATCTGGAGGATCATGGTTTGAGGCCAGCCTGGGCAGGAAAAGTTCCGTGAGACTCTTCTCTCCAATGAACCATCAGAAAATCAGAAGTGGCGCTGTGGCTCAACGTGGTAGAGCACTCGCCTTGTGTACAAAGAGGCTGGGGGACAGCGCCCCAGGCCCTGAGTTCAAGTCCCACGATGTACACACACACACACACACACACACATGCGTGCTTTTATTTGTGTATTATTTATTTTTCCTGTGGCTGCTTCTCCTTCCCTCTTCCTTTGTCCGGCATGGATGGATGGGCCTAGACTAACAATCTCTGAGTACGGCTGAGGGTGAGGAGATACCTCATATCAAGAGTATGGCTCCAGTAAGGTAGGTATTTCTGTAGTACCAGACTGAAGGGGTGGGGGTGGTGGGTAAGCTGACTCAGCCTGTTCTACTTCGCAGCTCTCTTGCTGCTGCTGCTCAGAGTGAAATTCCAGAGGCTTCTATGGTGGGCTGTTTTCTTTGGGGAAGGGCGGGGGAGATGGAGAAGAGTGGGGAAAATTCCAGAAATGCAATCTGTTGGGGAGCTCAGATCTCAGGCCTGAGAAAATGCCAGCCTCAGGGAGCAGGGGAAGAGATGCAGCATGCTCTGGAATTTGGCCTAAGAGGCTTGAGACCAGAAAAGGGCCTTGGGCGCCAGGCATCTGGGCGTAGCTAGCTGGGCCTGTGCCCTGCATGGTGTGCCAAAGAAAATAGCATTTCTCTTTTTCTTTTTGCCAGTCCTGGGGCTTGAACTCAGGGTCTGGGCGCTGTCCCTGAGCTCTTCAGCTCTAGGCAAGCGCTGTACCACTTTTGAGCCATATATATGGCGCCACTTCCGGTTTTCTGGTGGTTTGTTGGAGAGAAGTAGTCTCATGGCTTTTCCTTGCCCGGGCTGGCTTGGCACCACGATCCTCCGGCTCTCAGCCTCCTGAGTAGCTGGGATGATAGGCGTGAGTCACTGGATTCTGCCTGTACTTTTTAGGGGTTCAAGTTCCTTTTCCCTCCTGGGATCTAGGGTATAGTCATTCAGTCTATAGCCACAGAAAGGTCTAGAGCTTTCTCTGCACCATTCTTCCTGGAAGCCCTTCCAGTCTTTCTTCTCCAGGGCCTGCTTTGAGTCCCTGTACCATAGGACTTAAATCCTCAGCCGGGCGCCAGTGGCTCCCGGCTTTCATCCTAGCTACTCTGGAGGCTGAGATCTGAGGATCGCAGTTCAAAGCCAGCCCGGGCAGGAAAGTCCGTGAGACTCTTCTCTCCAATGAACCAGCAAAACACCAAAAGCTAGCAGTGGCTCAAGTGGTAGAGCACCAGCCTTGAGTGGAAAAAGCGTTCAGGCGGCTCCAAGGTGTCAGACAAGAGGCCCTGGCTCATCAGCGGGGTACAGGGGGCCCCAAAGGGGCTCTAGCTGCAGGAGGCGGGGATGGGGGTGGGGCTCCAGGTGCTTTCTCTCCCAGAGGTTCCAGAACAAAAGAGAATGCATACCTGGGCCTTCAATGGCTTGGCATCTTCCTCCTTTGTCTTCTTGGTTGGCAGCTGGGCCCGGGCTGCCAGCAGCTGGAAAAGCAAACCTGGCATTTCATATTTCACGATGTTAGGCAAAGGCCCAGCGCCGCCCCATAACCCCAGCCCCTTACCCCCAACTTCTCACTTTTCTTGGGATGGTTCATGGGAGAATCTGCTGGGGCTGGGAGAGGGTTTCATCCATTGTCTGTCTCCATTCCCCAACCTCATGCTAACACTAAGGACCCCGCGAGGTGCTTATAGCTTGAGAAACAGCCATGCACCGAGCCGCACTCTGTCCCTACCCCCCCCCCCCCAGCCCCTACCCCCTGAGAGTTCTAGAAACACAGGGAAGGATGTACTTGAGGTTGTAGAGGTGCTAAGCCTGCTGTAAGCAGGGAAACTGAGGCTGTAATGACTCCTTCCTTCCTTCCTCCTCCATCTTTTTCTCTTTCTTCCTTTCTTCTTCTCTTCCCTTTCCCTCCTCTTCCCTTTCTCCCTCCCTCCTTCCTTCTCTTTCTCTATTTCTTTCTTCTCTTCCCTTTTTCTCTCCCTCCCTCCCTCCCTCCTCTCCTCCCTCCCTCCCTTCCTTCTTTCCTTCCTTCCTTCCTCCCTCCCTCCCTCCCTTCCTCTTTCTTCTCTTTCCTCTTTCCCTCCCCCTTTCCTTTCTCTTCCCTCTCTCCCTTTCTTTTCTTTCCTTTTTTGGTCGGTCATGGGGCTTGAACTCTGGGCCTGGGCGCTGTCCCTCAGCTCTTCAGCTCAAGGCAAGCGCTCTACCACTTGAGCCACAGCGCCACTTCCGGTTTTCTGGTGGTTTATTGGAGATAAGAATCTCATGGCCTTTCCTGACCGGGCTGGCTTTGAACTACGATCCTCAGATCTCAGCCTCCTGAGGAGCTAGGATGACAGGCGGGAGCCACCAGCGCCTGGCTGGGCCTTATATACTCTTGCTTGGCTTTTTTCCTCAAGGCTGGCGCTTTGCCACCTGAGCCACACTTCCACTAATAGCCTTTTGCTGGTTCATTGGCGATGAGAGTCACATGGACATTCCTGCCCAGGCTGGCTTCAAACTCCCAGGTCCCCTTGGGAAGAGGCAGCAGGCCCTCACCTCCCGCTCCAGCTCCTGGATGCGGCCACTCAGCTGCTTCACCCGGGTCTTCGCTCCTTCAGACTCTGCCATCAGCACCCGGTTCTTTTTGGACAGCTCAATGATTTTGGTGGCAACCACATCTCCAGCCATACTGGAAGTCCCTACAACCAGAGAGGGATGGTGAGGCCAATAGGAAATCCAGCCTGCTCATCAACTCCAGGTCTACAGCTCTATATTATATTATTGTTATTATTATTGCTGGTCTTGGGGATTGAACTCAGGGCCTGGATTCTGGCCCAGTGTCTCTTGGTGCTCAAAGCAAGCGCTCTACCACTTGAGCCACAGCACCACTTCCGGTTTTGAGTGGTTCACTGGACATAAGAGTCTCACAGGGAATTTTCTGCCTGGCCTGGCTTGGAACCACAATCCTCAGATCTCAGCCTTCTGAGTAGCGAGGATGGCAGGCGTGGGCCACCAGCACCCGGTCATCCTTGGAACTTTCTAGGCCTGCTTGACTTTGAGCTTTGCCCGGGAGTGAGCACTGGCAGACGCTGGTGCAGCTGATCTCATGCTCTTCTGGCCAGCTGGTGGCTCATAGAAAGCAGCCAGGCAGGGGACCAGGGGAACAGAGGTGGCCAGGCCTCGCTACGCCCCCGATGTTTGAGCTAAATCCAGTGCTGCTAAGATCTTAGGCCTGATTGTTTATTCCAGACTTTTTTTTTTATATTTTTGGTGGGGAGACAAAATAGATCCCAATGTAATTGCACATGCTCATCTAGCAAATATTTAAGTGTGTTTCTACCACGTGTGTGTGTGTGTGTGTGTGTGTGTGTGTGTGTGTGTGTGTGTGCTGATCCTGGGGCTTGAACTCAAGGCTTTTTTTGCTCAAGGCTAGCACTCTACCACTTGAGCCACAGCTCAAGTTTTGTTTTTGTTTTTTTCAGTTGTTCATTGGAGACAGGAATCTCAAACCTAGTGCCGATGGCTCCCGCCTGTCATCCTAACTCCTCAGGAGGCTGAGATCAGAGGATCTAGGTTCAAAGCCAGCCTGGGCAGGAAAAGCCGTGAGACTTTTCTCTCCTATGAACCACTAGAAAACCAGAAGTGGCGCTGTGGCTCAAGTGGTAGAGCGCTTGCCTTGAGCTGAAGAGCTCAGAGACAGCGCCCAGGCCCAGAGTTCGAGTCCCATGACTGACAATAAACAAAATAAATAAATAAATAAATAAATGAATGAAACTGGGCTGGACAGAGGTGAACACAGCTAACCCCTTGCTCTGTCTCTTGGATCCTTGCTTTCTGGTCTCAACATGGCTGCTGCGGACAAGCCATTTGGGCTTGGGGGGGGTGTCGGTGGGGGGAGGTGGTAACATCATGGCGGAGCTACCTGTGAGGGCCAATCTGTCCTCTTCAATTTTCTTTTTGAGGTGCTGAATCTCAAAGTCCCTCTCTTTCAGCAGCTTGTACAGTCGTCCGTTCTCGTCCACCGCCTCCCTGAGCTCCTCCCGCAGCTGCTGGATCTCATCTTCCAACACCCTGCACAAGCAAAGGGTCCCAACACATCCCTGGGATTGTGTCCCAGGCCTCCCTGCCTAGGTTTGGTTTGCGATGTCCAGACTGGCCACTAGGGGGAGATCGCGGCGCGTTGTTAGCCCTTGTGGAAATGTAATAATAAAAAATCCTTCACTGTAGAACTAGCGTGAGCTAAGCTAACCAGATTTCTGCCCAGCAGTCAGAGGGGAAAGACGATCCGAGCAACACTGTTTATTCGCTGACTTTGAGAGAGCTATGACATTTCCCAACTGGGGCAGGCAAGCTGGTGGCTCACGCCTGTCATCCCAGCTACTCGGGAGGCCAAGATCTAGGGGATAGCGGTTCGAAGCCAGCCTGGGCAGAAAAGTCTGGGAGACTCCTATCTCCAATAAACTACTTAAAAGAGCCAGAAGTGGTGCTGTGGCTCAGATGGTAGAGCACTAGCCTTGAGCACAAAGAGACACAGGCCCTGAGTTCAAGCCCCAGGACTGACAAAAAAAAAATCACTTTTGAGGGAAAGCACATGAAGAGACAGCATAGTCAAAAACAAAAACAAAAACAAAACCCCCAAATGTACTAATTTACCTGACTTACAAAATGGTAATCTCTTTGTACAACACTGTCATAATACCAATAAAACTATATTACATTTCTTTTTTTTTGGGGTCCAGTGGTGGGGTCTGAACTCTGGGCCTGGGCGCTGTCCCTCAGCTCTTCAGCTCAAGGCTAGCACTCTACCACTTGAGCCACGGCGCCACTTCTGGCTTTTTTTCTTTTTGCTTATGTGATGCTAGGGAATGGAACCCAGGGCCTCATGCATGCTAGGCAAGCGCTCTACCACTGAGCCACCTTCCCAGCCCCCTATATTACATTTTTTAAAGTCCACTTTTTTTTTCTTGCTGGTCCAGGGATTTGAACTCAGGGTCTCGGCACCATCCCTGAGTTTCTTTTGCTCAAGGCTAGTGCCCTACCACTTGAGCCACAGCACCACTTCTGGCTTTTTCTGCATTTATGGCACTGAGGAATCGAACCAGGGCTTCATGCATGCGCTCTACCACTAAGCCACCTTCCCAGCCCCTGTTGGGCCTGGTTTTTACCTCTGTTCAAAGATGCTCTTGAGATTCTGCTCGTCTGTTTGGAGGAAGCTGAGGCCATCCGGGATCTCCAAGGTCTCTTTTGGATCCTCTGCTGGGCTTTGATGGCTCATCTCCTTTTCCTTCTTTTTCTCCATCTGCTTCTGTAGCCTGCGATGCTGTAGCTCCTGCATCGCCTTGAACTGGAGCCTCAAAATATCCTGGGAGTTCTCCTCTGTGGTCATCTTGCCCTTAAGAGTCAGAAGAGAAGTCTGGGGCAAAACTCCACACCAAGTGCTTAGCACCAAAAACCCCCCCCGGTTTGCAGCTCCAGCCTGGAGTTTCTTGCTAAGGTCTGCACATGTGTCCATGCAGAGGTTTGGAGGCTCCTCCCTCACCCCCAACTTCATTCCTCTACAAGCCAAAGCCAGGTCCCAGTAGCTCATGCCTGTCATCCTAGCTACGCAGGAGGCTGAGATGTGAGGATCATGTTTTGAGGCCAGCCTGGGCCAGGAAAGTCCATGAAACTCTTTTTTTTTTTTTTGGGTCCGGTCACGGGGCCTGAACTCTGGGCCTGGGCACTGACCTTCAGCTCTTCAGCTCAAGGCTAGTGCTCTACCACTTGAGCCACAGCGCCACTTCCGGCTTTTTTCTTTTTGCTTATGTGGTGCTGAGGAATCGAACCCAGAGCCTCATGAATGCAACCCAAGCACTCTACCACTGAGCCACCTTCCCAGCCCCTCCATGAAACTCTTTATGTTCATGTATCAGCAAAGAGCCAGACGTGGAGCTGTGGCTCAAATGGTAGAGTGCCAGCCTTCAGTGAAATGCCAAGGAAGAGGGCGAGGCCCTGAGTTCAAGCCCCAGTAGAGGTACACACAAAAATGCACACATACACACACACACACACACACACACACACAATTATGTTCTTTTTTGGTGGGTCATGGCTCTTTTGGCTCAAGGCTGGCGCTCTACCACTTTGAACCACAGCACCACTTTCCAGTGGAAGTGGACGACCACTTTTCTGGTGGTTCATGGGAGATGAGAGTCTCGCCAGACTTTCCTGGGGCTGGTTTTGAACCACGACCCTCCGGATCTCAGCCTCCTGAGTAGCTAGCATGACAGGCATTGAGCCACGGGGTGGATTGGGCTCAAAATTATCATTATTTTCCAATTCCCAGTAACAGGAGGTCCACTCTGTCCCCCCATGGCAGGAAGAAAGACCCCTCCGTACCTCCCCTCCTCCATTCTCCATCAAGACACCAAGAGGAGGCCTCTGCAGGAGGCCTAGGGGATGGTGTGGGGAGCCAGCCTGGAGGCCAGGGCTGGGAGTGGGGTTGGCCACGTCTGGTGGTCCAGCATCCCCACCCCCCACCCCTGCCCAGCCTCTGCTCGGTGCTTGGCTGTTACAGCTCGGGTGGCCCCGAGTTCGAGTCCAGCCGCCGACCGGAACTTCGGGGCAGGCTGTGCGTCCGGCCCTCAGACACCTCACTTCCGCCTTGCGGGGCGGGGGGGGGGGAGGGAGGGGGGAGCGTGTGGGGGGGTGAGGGGGGGACACCCCCTGGGGGATCCCCCCCTCCCCGGGACTTACAGCTGCGACCTCCCCGCGTCTCGCTCTCGATTTTTTAAGTCTTACGATTTTGGCGGGAGCGGCGTCGGCGTTCTCCAACCAACCCCCCCTCAACCTCGTCGCCGCCGCCGCCGCCGCCGCCGCGCGCTGCCCCTGGCAACCGTCTCCCAGGCAACGCGCCACGCCCCTCCGGCGACGTCAGCGCGGCGACGCACGGACACAGCCAGCCCCGCCCCTGGAGACCGGTTGCCAGGCAACGCGTCCCGCCCACCCACCCACCCCCCCCTCCGGCGACGTCAGCGCGGCGACGCACGGCGGCCGAGGAGGCCCACGCAGGCGGGCGCGGCGCGGATCCGCGGCCGAGGCGGGGGACGTCGGGCCCGCAAGGACGCGATGACCTTGAGACGAGCTGTTTTAGAAGTTTGGCGGATCCCACAGGAGAGTCGGCCGTGCGCGTCGCACGGTAAACGCCAGAGGAGTTGGAACGGGGCTGAGGTCACCTTGACTGCAGCCGCCCCGTGTCCTCCCGCCATTCCATTCATACTGTATTTACTTATGCATGTTATGCTGCGTGCCTGCACTGTGCAATACGGTACATTTCATACTGTATTTTGTATAGTAATTATGCACTATATTATATAGTATTTTTATATACATTTATATACTAAATAATAGTCTAATAGTTATAGACTATATTAGTCTATTTTATATATGTACTTATATGCTAAATAATAGTATTCATATACTATATTATGTACCTTATGTATATTTTATATTATATACTATATCATTGTGTTTTTTATATATTTACATGCTATATAATATAGGATGTATGCGGGGCGCAGGTGGCTCACGCCTGTCATCCTAGCTACTCAGGAGGCTGAGAGCTGAGGATCGCCCGGGGAGGTACATCCGTGAGACATCTTATCTCCAATAAGCCACCAGAAAACCAGAAGTGGTGCTGTGGCTCAAGGGGTAGAGCGCTCGCCTGGAGCTGAAGAGCTGAGGGATGACGCCCAGGCCCAGAGTTCAAGCCCCATGACTGGCAAAAAACAGTATGTATACTATGTTATATATCTATGAACTATATTAGTGTATTTTATATATGTGTATTTTATATATATTTATGTACTATATAATATAGTATATTTTATATAATACATACTAGTGTATTTTATGTTATATATTTATATACTATATGATGTATATTTTTCATATTACAATATGTACTAGTGTATTATATATTATATAATACATATCTATATGCTATATTATATATTTTATGTATTATTTTGTTACAATACTAAAGTATATTTTATTTATTTATTTTTTTTGGTCGGCCGTGGGGCTTGAACTCTGGGCCTGGGTGCTGTCCCTCAGCTCTTCAGCTCAAGGCGAGCGCTCTACCACTTGAGCTACAGCGCCACTTCCGGTTTTCTGGTGGTTTATTGGAGATAGGAGTCTCACGGTCTCTCCTGCCCGGGCTGGCTTTGAACTGTGATCCTCAGATCTCAGCCTCCTGAGTAGCTAGGATTACAGGCGTGAGCCACCAGCGCCCGGCTAAAGTATATTTTATAATATATTTTATATGTTTATATATTTTTTATTACCTTTAATAATTCTACATGCTGGTGGCTCAAGTGGTAGAGTGTCAGTCTTGAGCAAAAGAAGCTCAGGGACAGCGCCCAGACTTGAGTTCAAGCCCCAGGACCTCAAAGAATAAAATAAAATTGCTGTTCAAAAAGCGAGACTCTTCAACATGGCAGTCTGAGAGTACAATGCCTCTTGATCATTCTCCTCCATTCCTTCCAACCCATCTCCTCTATTTTCTGTCTTCTTTTGTCACTCATGGGACTTGAACTCATGGCCTGGATACTGTCCCTGTGCTCTTTCACTGAAAGCTAGCCTTCTACCACTTTGAGCCACAGCGCCACTTCGTTTTCCAGTGGTTCCTTGGAGATAAGAGTCTCATGGACTTTCCTGCCTGGGCTGGCATGGAACCGTGATCCTCAGGTCTCAGCCTCCTGAGTAGTTAGGATGATAGATGTGAGCCACCTGCGCCGGGTAAAATTGACTTCCAAGTATTTGAATTTTATCTTTTTTGTTGTTGTTGTTGTTGTTCATGGGGCTTGAACTCTGGGCCTGGGCGCTGTCCCTCAGCTCTTCAGCTCCAGGCGAGCGCTCTACCAGTTGAGCCACAGCACTTCTGGCTTTTTCTGCTTTGTGGTGCTGAGGAATCGCACATCCAGGGCCTCATGCATGTGAGGCAAGCACTCTACCCCTGAGCCACCTTGCCAGCCCTTGGTTTTCGTCTGCAATGCAAGTGGGCAGGCCTTCATGACCTGTGACCTCCTTGTGTCCACACTGCTACTCGCAAATTCTGATGGGATGCAGAAAAGCACTTAAGGAAGGTTTGAAAGTGGGAGTGCAATTCCAGTTCTCACCTCCAGATGTCACTGCAGCTCAGTAATTAGAAATGAGGTCATTCCTGGGTAACTGTAGCATCTGGGTACAGCATTGAACCCCCAGTGAGCAACACCCCCACACACTCAGGTGGCTCATATAAAATGGCACAATATTTGTTCAGAACCTGTGCACACCTCCTCTTGTGCAGTTAGCTCTCCATTACTTATTTTTCTGTCGGTCATGGGGCTTGAACTCAGGGCCTAGGTGCTGTCCCTAAGTCTTTTTGCACAAGGCTAGCACTCTACCACTTGACCCACAGCACCACTTCTGGCTTTCTCTGCTCATGTGGTGCTGAGGAATCGAACCCAGGGCCTCATGCATGCAAGGCAAGCACTCTACCACTGAGCCACCTTCCCAGCCCCTTACTAGGGTTTTTTAAGAAGCTGACAAGTCAAACATCCAAAGTTTGTACAGCACTGTGTAACCTTTAGTAAATGTGAGTCATTGCTTCCATGTGGTAGATTCCATTTCACTGTAGTTCCTATCAGAGGTATATTCTGTCATTTTCTTGGAATCTAATTTTTCCTAATACTCTCAAGAATGATGGCTTTGCCTAAGCTGAAATAAATACAAGACACCTGATGCATTCACTCACTTTAATAACAATACTCATACCATGTTATTACCATGGAATGTAAGTTCAGGTTAGATGAGAGAACTTTACAAGTGTTCTAGAACATTCTGTACCACATCAAACTTTGTGTATCGTGTTTCAGCAAACTTGTTTCCATTTCTAGTAGCCTATTTAACATAAAAAAAACTGTTCAATTATCTTTGTATTCGCTCTTAAAGTACCTATTTTCTCGGCTGGGATATAGCTCAGTGGTAGACTGCTTGCCTAGTATGTACGAAGCTTTAGATGGATTCCTAGCACCACACAAAAAAAAGAACAAGAAAAAGAAAAAAATGAAAAAGCAAGCAAACAAAATGAACTCTATATCAAAATGACATTGAAGCCAGGTACTGGTGGCTCACACCTGTAATCCTAGCTATTCAAGAGCCTGAGAGGTGAGGATCATGGTTAAAAACCAGCCCAGGCAGCCAATCCGTAAGGCTCTTATTTCCAATTAACCAGCAAAAAGCCAGAAGTGGAGCTGTGGCTCAAGCGGTAAGAGTGCCAGCCTTGAGTGAAAAAGCTAAGGGACTGTGCCCAGGCCCTGAGTTCAAACCCCAACATTGGCACACACAAAGACCTTTAAAAATGATTCTCATACAACATCAGCAAAATATATAATTCTGCAATTCAAAAACAGTAAATCGGGGATCTATAATTAAAGTTCTTCTCACATTTACAAGTGTGGGCCTAAAATACCGCTCTTCTTATCACCTCATGAAAGCTTTTCAGGTTTGGTTTAAATATATAAAACACATGTATGTACACACACAAATAGAAAACTTTCACTTGTGAAGATCTGTAAGTTTCTATTTCATGCACGTAGTTGAAAAAGAGTTTTTCAGGAGCCAGCAAACACCCTACAAACTGGACTCCTCAAGTAAAATGACTTGGGCTAACCCAATTAATACGTAACACATAGGCACATAGCATATTCTGCAGCATGATAAAGCACTTCCAGACCAGAAGCTGTCATTTTAAAACCAATTTTTGTCCTAAGGGCTTAAAGAGGAAGATGTAGTGGCTAACACCTGTAATCCCAGCTACTCAGGAGGATGAGATCTGAGGGTCGCTGTTCAAAGCCAGCCCAGAGTAGACAAATCCAAGTGACTTAATCTCCCAATAAATTAGCAAAAAAAGCTGGAAATGGTGGTGTGGCTCAAGAGTGCCAACTTTGAACAAACAATAAAAAAGTTAAAGGATATAAAGAGGTTGAGTTCAAGTTCGAGTACCTGCACCAAAAACAAAAAAACAAAAACAAAAAAGAAACCATTTGAACACAACCAACCAGGTACATTTAGTGACACTGATTTTTTTTTGTGTGTGTGTGGTAAGGCCTCCCCAGGGTAACCTAATTAAAAAAAAAAAAAAAAAAAAAAAAGCTGAAAAATAAATTTAAAAGCCCATTATTGAAAATACCGTGTTATCTCTGGAACACACTCAAATCATTTATTTCTATCATCAACAGGAAACCTCAATATGAGATGTCTAATTAAAGCAAGCTCTTTCACAACAGGACACACACAGCATCTCTTCTTCTAAGGTTTAGGTTTCGCCCAGAATTCCTTGTACATGGAATAGCCCATACCTAAAGAAAGAAAATGCTTGTGAGCCATTGGAAGATTTTCTTCAACATTAAGGAAATACAAAACAGCTAAGAATACTAACGAATAGAGGAAAATCCTTGCAGGTATAAACTCCAGATTTCCTAAAGAGAGAGAGAGAGAGAGAGAGAGAGAGAGAGAGAGAGAGAGAGAGAGAGAGAGAGTGTGTGTGTGTGTGTGTGTGTGTGTGTGTGTTTGAGAGAGAGAGAGAGAGAGAGAGAGAGAGAGAGAGTGTGTGTGTGTGTGTGTGTGTGTGTGTGCTTGAATTTAGAGCCTAGAGCTCTCCCTTGGCTTTTTCACTCAAGGCTAGCACTCTACCACCTGAGCCACATCTCCACTTCCAGCTTTTTGCCAATTAATTGGAGATGAAAGTGTCTTAAGATTTGTGTGCCCTGGCTGGCTTCAAATGGAGATCCTCAGATCTCAGCCTCCTTAGGAGCTTGGATTACAGGTATGAGCCACTGCCACCTGGCTTAACAATTTACATTTCTAAGTCTTTTTGTTGTTCTACCTCTTGGTCCTGGGGCTTGAAATCTGGGCCTGGGCACTGCTCCTGAGCTCTTTTGCTCAAGGCTAGTGCTCTACCAGTTTGAGCCACAGCTTTACTGCCAGTTTTTGTTTGTAAACTGTTCACTGGAGATAAGAGTCTCATAGACTTTCCTAACCAGGCTGGCTTTCAACTGTAAGCCTCAGATCTCAGCTTCCTGAGTAGCAGCAATTGAAAGACACTGGCCTAATTTTATCAAGGTTCGTTGAAAGGTATCTACCTCACACAATGATGGGGGAAATCACACATTTGAAAATGGCTGGTTGGAACCTACCGAGGGTCATGGCTCCCACGACAAAGCCTTGGGCTGCTACTCGCATGTGGATGAGGTGAACGGACATTTTTGTGTTTCCTCTACTCTTCAGCTTGTATAAGCCGTATGCCACAATGGCTGCAAACCCTGCCATTCCTACAAAACAGAGGTGTTTTAGAGCCTGGGGTTAGGGGGTGGGGATGGGGAACAAGATGGCTGCACCACTCATCAATGGTGACTCACGCCTGTCATCCCAGCTACTCAGGAGGCTGAGATCTGAGGATCGTGGTTCAAAGCCAGCCTGGGTCCTTAAGTCTGTATGCCTCACCTGATGCCTGAGCAACCCAGTATGCCCTGTACATCTTTATTGGAGAACACTTGTACAGGGCGCTGTTCCTGAGCTCTTCAGCTCACAGCACCACTTCCGGTTTTCTGCTGGTTCATTGGAGATAAGAGTCTCCTGGGGACTTTTCTGCCCAGGCTGGCTTCAAACTGTGATCCTCAGAGCTCAGCCTCCTGAGTAGCTACAGCCGTGAGCCACCAGTGCCCGGCTGGGCTTTTGTTTCTCTGACCGCATGTTTATAGCTGATTATTAAACTGTCAAAATCAAACTTACCAATAGGGACAAAGGGTGCTTCTTTAGCTTTCCGCACAAGCTTAGAGCCCTGGCCTTCATCGTATGAAGAGAGAGATACATCTGTGTCGGTCGACATTGTGATTGCTTGAAGAATCTTCTGGAAAGAGAATTACTTCGAGATCATGTACTGTGGAACATATCTAGGTGGTTATTAGATACTTCGATGAACATAAAACACTCCATGAAATGTGGTATATATTACTAGCCTTCAACTTGAAAACAAATTTTAAAACATTTTTTGGCGCTGCTCCTGGGGTTTGAACCCTCTTAGGGATTTGGCATTGTCCCAGAGCTTTTTTTTTTTTTGGCCGAAGGCTAGCAGTTTACCACTTGAGCCATGGCTCCACTTCCATTTTTTGGTGGCTCATTGGAGATAAGAATCTCATGGACTTTTCTGCCCTGGCTGGCTTTGAATCACGATCCTCCAGATCTCAGCCTCCTGAGTAGCCAAGATGATAGGCGTGAGCCACTGGTGCCTGAAAATAATTATTTTTAGGGTTGGGCGGCTTCTCATACCAGAAATTATTGGGCAATAGCAAAGTCAAGTTCACCTCTGTCACAGTAACTATGTATACCTGAATGAATAATTCTGAATGACTATAAACTTTACTCCTAAATAAAACAAGGGCGTCAAACAATATACTACACACGAATCTCTGATTAGTGTCAGTTACGACAAACTCAGGCCTACCACTTGAGCCACAGCCCCTCTTCTAGCTTTCTGGTGGTTCATTGGAGATAAAGACTCTCAGACTTTTACTGCCCAGGCTGGCCTCAAACTGAGATCCTCATATCCCAGCCTCCTGAAGAAACTAAGATTACAGGTGTGAACCACTGGTGCTGGCTAGAACCAAGACTTTAAAATACTCCCATCACTTCCTAAGACTCAATAAAGGCTTACTGACTGATCTTTGATTAAAATATACAGAAGTATAATTTTTTTATTTTGGTTGGTTGGTTGTGAGGCTTGAATTCTGGGCTTGGGCACTGTCCTTCAGCTCTTCAGCTCAAGGCGAGCATTCTACCACTTGAGCCACAGTGTCACTTCCAGTTTTCTGGTGGTTCATTGGAAATAAAGAGTCTCACAGACTTTCCTGCCTGGGCTGGCTTCTGAGTAGCTAGGATTACAGGCATGAACCACCAGCACCTGGCATAAGCATAATTTGTTATTATTATTAAGGTGTTGTACAGTGGGACTACTACTTCACAAGTCAGGTAATGAGTATTATTCTTTTTGGACAATGTTACCCTTTCCTGCACTTTGCCCCAGTTTTTCCTTCGATTCCTGCCCACAAGTGGCTATTTTTTTTTCCCTTTTTATTTTTGCCAGTCTTGGCACTGTCCCTAAGCCTCTTTGTGCTCAAGGCTAGCACTTTACCACTTGAGCCACAGAACCACTTCTGGCCTTTTCTGTGTATGTGGTCCATGAGGAATCAAACCCCGGGGCTTCATGCATGCTAGGCGAGAGCTCTACCACTGAGCCACCTTCCCAGCCCTGACCTTTAACTTAATACAAAGTTCAATAATCTCTAGGTTCAAGAGGCTTACTATGTTTGCAGATAAAATGCTGAGGAGTCAGGCACAGTGGCACCAGCCTGTAATCTCAGCAATCAGAAGGCTGAGAGTTTTGGCAGGAAGATCATGAGTTCCAGGCCTGTGGTAACTACACAGCAAGATGCTATCTTGAAGAAAAACACAAACAAAACCCGCAAATGAAATACTGAAATAACCAATGGTGCAAAACCAGATTTGTTAAAAACAAAAACAAAAACCCAGGCACCAGTGGCTCACGCCTGTCATCCTAGCTACTCAGGAGGCTGAGATCTGAGGATCATGGTTTGAAGCCAGCCCACACAGTAGAATCTGTGAGATTTTTATCTCCAATAAATTACTCAGAAAAAGCCAGTGACTCAAATGGTAATGGGCTAGCCTTGAGCAAAAGAAGCTCAGGGGACAGTGCCCAGGCCATGAGTTCAAGCCCCAGGGCTGGTAAAAAAAAAATAAAAATTAATTAATTAGCTTCTGCAATAAAATTAGGGTGTGGGAATCATGCAGTCATTATTTGCTTTAAAAAAAAAGTAATCAGAACTGTACAGTGACACTTGCCTGTAATGCTACCACTGGAAAGGGTGAGGTAGGGAGGCTTGAGAGTGTGAGGCTAGCTTGAGCTATACAGAAAGACCTATCTTAAATGGAAAGAAAAGGAAGAAAGACTAAAAGGAAGGGAGGGAAAGAAAGAGGGAAGGAATGATGAGGGAAAGGGGAAATATCTCTAATCCAGAACACCTCATGCATATGTTTCAGGATGAAAGAGAAGTATAAAATCATTTTATGTCAAGAGTCTGGGAATGTGGATCAATGGTAGAATGTTCGCCTAGCATGCATGAAGCCCTGGGTTTGATTCCTCAGTACCTCATACAGAGAAAAAGCCAGAAGTGGCGCTGTGGCTCAAGTGGTAGAGCACTAACCTTGAGCAAAAGAGCTCAGGGACAGTGCCCAGGCCCTGATTTCAAAGCCCACGACTGACAAAAATAAAGACTTTCCAAAATATACAATCTTGATCATTGTAGTTACTAATTAAAAGTTGCCCAAGAATTCATGACATATAGCTACTTCAATTAAAGAGGATATTCTTGCAAAGTTTCAAAGTCAACAATGTCAAGTCATATAATTTGAGCGCAATGATGGAGCAGATGATTGTCAATATCCTTATTTTACAGAAGAGCAAAGAGTTATGTAAGCTGTTCAACCCAAGCACATCTCTGATGGAGCAGAGTAATAGAGACGGTAGCATTAGAACCCAGCTTCTCTTGATAACCGAGTTCTTTTGATTGACAATTTATTACCAATCATCAATTCTATCATGCTGGTCCATTTCTAATCAAAAAATACAAAAATGCTTTCCTTTCTAGACACTCACAATAATCTCTGAATAGATAAACCCCCCCCCATAGAAGTCATGCTTCAAATTAAATGAAATCTCTTTTCTTCAATGATTTATATCATCTAACCATTTCAACCCTGATTTGAAAAGGTGGGTTTCCCCCCCACTAGTTTTCCTTCTCCACCCACAATGTAAAAATTCCAGATCTGTTAGAGAACTGAACAGATTGAGAAATGATTTAAGCAAAGCATCAAAACACCGAGATTCAAAGACAGTATGTCGAAGACAAAAGTGATTCTGGAAGCTTTTAGTTGAGATAATATCGAAGACCCCCCCCCCCCCCATGCAGGGAAACGAGATGGAAAATGGGAAAGAACTTGGTCCAGCATCCTCGGGTTGATGTCAGAGCGTGACGTCAGAGTATATCATCTTGGTTTTCAAGAACTACTCTAGGACAGAGCTTTCCAACCTCAGTCACCTGTCAGCTTGTCCAAAATGGCTGCCATTGCTCCAGCCTGGAGATTCTACTCTAGTGTCCTAGCGCAGGGCCTGAAGAAGGAATAGTTTAACAAGCCCCTAGTACACAAAGAATTAAAGAGAACACCCTCTTACTAGACAAGGTTCCAAAGGTGTCAGTCAGGAGCTCAGAAAACTTTTAATTCATTCAGGAGCTCAGGAATCTGTCAAAAACCTTGCATCATCCAAACCAGCTATTCTGGAATTTCCAGAAGGAGAGTCCTTTGGTGGGGACTTGCACTCCCACCCAGCTTGGGAATAAAAGAGAGAGGGAAAAAAACCAGCCTTGTGGCCTTACCCCTGTCATCCTAGCTACTCAGGAGGCTGAGATCTGAGGATCACAGTTCAAAGCCAGCCTGGGCAGGAAAGTTTGCGAGACTCTTCCTTCCAGTTAACCACCAAAAGAAGAAAGAAAAAGTGGAAGTGGAGCTGTGGCTCCAATGGTAGTGCACACAGCCTTGAGTGAAAAAAGCTAAAAAGACAGCGTGCCCAGGCCCTAAATTCAAGTCTCCACCCCACCCCAAGATTGGCTCCAAACAAAGAAAGAAAGAAAAAAGGGATGAAGAAAGCTGAAGCATTTCAAGGGCTTGAGCTCCAGCTTTTTGTCATCGGTTATATTTAATGGGGCTGTGCCCGCTTTGTCAGGTAATGTAAATGTGAACAGCCCAGAAGAAGAGACAGAGAGACAGAGAGACAGAGGGGGGGAGGGAGGGAGGGAGTCATACAGATCAACAGAACTACCAGTGCCACAGGCAGTGTGGCCAGACCTTCAACACCACCTCTCTCTCGCCCCCTCTCCTCTCCCCCCCTCCTCCATGTCTCTCCCCCTCCCTCTCCACTCCCCACTCTTTCCCCTTCTCCCCCCTGCTCTCCTCTCCCCCTCCCTCACTCCTCTCCCCCCATCCTCCCTCCCCATCTCCCCTCTCCCTCTCCCTTCTTCCCCCTCCTCTCTCCCCCATCCCCCCCTCTCTCTCCCCCATCCCCCCTCTCTTTCCCCCATCTCCCCTTTCCTTTCTCCCTCTCCCTCTCTCCCCATTCTCTCTCCTTCTCTCCCCCTCCTCTCTTCCTCTCTCTTCTCCCTCTCACCTCTCTCTTCCCCTCTCCCCCTCATCTCTCCCCCTCCCTCCCTCTCTCCCCCCCTCCTCTCTCCCTCCCCCCTCCTTTCTCCTCTCTCTCCCTCCCCCCTCTCCCTCCCCCTCTCTCTCCCCCCTCCTCTCTCCCTCCCCCCTCCTTTCTCCTCTCTCTCCCTCCCCCCTCTCCCTCCCCCTCTCTCTCCCCCCTCCTCTCTCCCTCCCCCCTCCTTTCTCCTCTCTCTCCCTCCCCCCTCTCCCTCCCCCTCTCTCTCCCCCCCTCCTCTCTCCCCCCCTCTTTTCTCCTCTCCCCCTCCCTCCCCCCTCTCTCTCCCCCTCTCCTCTCTTCTTTCCCTCTCCCCCTCCCTCCCCCTCTCCTCTCTTCTTTCCCTCTCTCCCTCCCTCTCCTCTCTCTCTCCTTCCCCCTCTTCTCCCCCTCCTCTCTCCCTCCCCCCCTCCTCTCTCCCTCCCCCCCTCCTCTCTCTTCCTTCCCTCTCCTCTCCCCCTTCTCTCTCCCCCCCCCCCCCCCCCCGCCGTGACCTTATCCGGGCCTCAGCCCTAGCTCGGATCGCCCCCCCCCCCCCGCCGCCCCGTCCCTCCTCACTCCTCCGCGGTGAAGGCTTCCAACTCGGGGGGGGCCGCACCCCGAGACCCCGACGCCTCCCCCGCCCCGCCCCGCCTCTCGCCATCACCCCGTCTGGTCGAGTCACCCACAGACTTCTGCTTCCCCTCCGGTCCCGGCGGAGGCCGGCCGGCACCCGAGGCCGGACGGCACCCGAGGCCTGACGGCACCCGAGGCCGGGCGGCACCCCGAGGCCGGGCGGCACCCCGAGGCCGGACGGCACCCCGAGGCCTGGCTCCTCAGTTTACCCCCCGCCCCCCGCACACACGCCCGCCCCGCGCCCGCTTCCGCCGCCCCGCGCCCGCTTCCGCCGCCCCGCGCCCGCTTCCGCCGCCCCGCGCCCCGGCCCCCAGCCCGGCGTTCACCTCACGCACCGCCGCGGCGACGTCGAGCAGCTCCTCCGCCCGGCTCCGGGGACTCCGCGCGCCCCGGGGGTCACGTCCGGCCGGCCCCGCCCGCCCCGCCCACCGCCGCCCTTAGCCAATCAGAAGGCAGCCCCCGGAGGCCGCGCTCGAGTGGAAGTGAGCATGCGCGGACGGTGGGCGGGGGAGGGGCCCGAAGCGGGTCTCTGATTGGCTGGGGCGCGGGGGAAGAGGCGGGGCCGGGCGGAGCTGGGCGCTTCCGGGCGGCCTCCCGGCGCCGCCGGCCCGGGCGCGTGTGAGACGTGCGGCCCGTCGGGCTCCCGGGGTTCGCGGCCCCCCCTGTTCGAAGACGGCGGGCGGTTCCCGTCCCCGGCCGCTCCTCTTCCTCTCGGCCTTTTTTTTCTTTTCTTTTTTTTAACCTCGACGAATGGCTTCTCCGGGACCTTGAGCGGCCTGGGGATGGGAGGGGCTCACAGGGGTGCGGGGAGAGGGGGTTAACAGGGGTGCGGGGATGGGAGGGGCTCACAGGGGTGCGGGAGAGGGGCTCACAGGGGTGCGGGGATGGGAGGGGCTCACAGGGGTGCGGGGATGGGAGGGGCTCACAGGGGTGCGGGGATGGGAGGGGCTCACAGGGGTGCGGGGATGGGAGGGGCTCACAGGGGTGCGGGGATGGGAGGGGCTCACAGGGGTGCGGGGATGGGAGGGGCTCACAGGGGTGCGGGGATGGGAGGGGCTCACAGGGGTGCGGGGAGAGGGGGTTAACAGGGGTGCGGGGATGGGAGGGGCTCACAGGGGTGCGGGGAGAGGAGGCTCACAGGAGTGAGTGAGGGGCTCACAGGGGTGAGGGGAAGAGGGGGCTCACAGGGGTGGGGGGAGAGGGGCTCACAGGGGTGCGGGGATGGGAGGGGCTCACAGGGGTGCGGGGATGGGAGGGGCTCACAGGGGTGCGGGGATGGGAGGGGCTCACAGGGATGGGGGAGAGGAGGCTCACAGGAGTGAGTGAGGGGCTCACAGGGGTGAGGGGAAGAGGGGGCTCACAGGGGTGGGGGAGAGGGGCTCACACATGAGGGGGAGAGGGAGATCCACGGGGGGATGGGAGGGGCTCACAGGGGAGAGGGAGATCCACGGGGGGATGGGAGGGGCTCACAGGGGAGAGGGGATCCGCAAGGGTGAGGGGGGCCCATAGGGGGGATGGGAGGGGCTCACAGGGGTGAGGGGGAGAGGGGTTCATGGGGTGAGGGAGGGGAGGGGGTTCACAGGGATAAGGGGGACTGGAGAAGGAAACTGCTGGACACCCCCTGAGGGGGCCCACCCTTCCTGCAGGCACCCACCTTGGGTTGTGTGGGTCCTGGAGCAGCCTGCACTGGGGGTGTTACAGACTGACCCACCTGTCCCCTCTTCCTCCTCCTTCCCCTCCTCTCCTCTCTCCTCCTGTCCCTCCTCTCCTTTCCCTCTCTCCTCTTCCTCTCTCTCTCTCCCTCCTCTCCTCTCCCCCCTGTGGCTAAACACATCTATCCTTTTTTTTTTTTTTTTTTTTGGTCCGGGGTCGTGGGACCTGTACTCTGGGCCTGGGCGCTGTCCCTCAGCTCTTCAGCTCAAGGCTAGCGCTCTACCACTTGAGCCACAGCGCCACTTCTGGCTTTTTTTCTTTTTGCTTATGTGGTGCTGAGGAATCGAACCCAGAGCCTCAGGCATGCAAGGCAAGCGCTCTACCACTGAGCCACCTTCCCAGCCCAACACATCTATCCTTTCTTGTCTCACCTCTAGGCCTTGATAGGGGGGTGGACAGTGCCCATCACCTGGTTAGGTACCAGGGTGGTTGTAACAAGGTGACTTACTGAGACCTAGTCTTTCTCTTACTTCACTCTCTCTCTTCCTCTCCTTCCTATCTCTGTCTGTCTCTCCTTTTCCCCTTCCTTCCACTCCTTCGTCCTTCTCCTTCCCTTCTTCCTCCTCTCCTTCCTTTCCCCTCCCTCCTCTCTTCTCCCTCTCCTCTCCTTTCCTCCTTCCTTCCTTTCTCCCTCTCTTCTTTCCCTCCACTCCCTCCTCTCCTTTCTCTCTCCCACCCTCCCTCTCTTCCTCTTCCCCTGTGTGTGTGTGTGTGTGTGTATTAGTACTTGAACTCAGGGCCTGGACCTTACACCTGAACTTTTGGGCACTCTACTACACAGCGCTACTGCCAGCTTTTTGCTGGTTCACTGGAGATAAAGAGTCTCACACACTTTTCCCACCCAAACTGGCTTCAAACCACAGCTCTTTTGCTCCAGGAGAGGGCTCTGCCACTTGAGCCACAGCACCACTTCCAGTTTTCTGGTGGTTCACTGGAGATAAGAGCCTCACAGCTTTCCTGTTCAGGCTGACTTTAAACCACGATCCTCAGATCTCAGCCTTCTGAGTAGCTAGGATTATACATGTGAGGCATCAGCATTGGTCTGGCTGAAAAGGCATTTTTTTTTTTTTAAATCTCTAGTTTACATAGTCCCTTATTTTTATACCACTGGTTCCATCAACCATGTGAAATATTTCTTTTCCATTCGTAACCAAAGTGACAGTAGGATTGATGTGTTTTATGGAGCAGGATCAAAAATGTTAGTGTTTAAATATTTTCGTCTGCAGTTGATCTTTTTTCCACTGATGTTTTAGGGTGATTTGTTATTGTTGGGGCAGTGGAACTCTAAATGCCAATGAGGATTAAAAAAATATGTAGTGTAAGCTGGCCCCCAGTGGCTTATGCTTGTAATCCTAGCTACTTAGGAAGCTGAGATCTGAGGATCACAGTTCAAAGCCAGCCTGGAGGTAAGACTTATCTCCAATTAACCAGCAAAAAGCCAGAGGTGGAGCAGTGGCTCAATCGGTAGAGCACCAATCTTGAGCAAAAAAAGCTTAGAAAAATTGCCCAGGCCCTACATTCAAGCCCCAGAATGGTGCCCAAAAATGTACAAGTAGAAATGTGGCTCAAGTGGTAGAGCAGCAGCCTTGAGCAAAAGAACTAATGCACTGTTACAAGGCCCTGAGTTCAAGCCCCAATCTTGGCTTTGTAAATCATGCAACCCAGAAGTATAAGCACACCAACAACAGCGTTTGGGATGTAGTAGACACTCAGTAAGTACATGTTGTAGTCTCTCCAACCTTCTTATTCTTGCTGCCTTGTCTTTAAGCAATAACCAGTCATACAAATTCAGGAAGATCACTTTTGGGCTGGGAATGTGGCTTAGTGGTAGAGGGTCACCTAGCACACAGGAAGCCCTGGGTTCGATTCCTCAGCACCAAACACAGAAAAAGACAGAAGTGGTGCTGTGGCTCAAGGGAGAGTCCTAGCCTTGAGCAAAAGAAACTCAGGGACAGCTTCCAGGCCCTGAGTTCAAGCCCCAGGACTGGCAAGGACAAAAAAAAAAGACTTTTTGTTTAGATGTCACTGGATTCCTTTTTTTAAAAAAAATCTCTTTCCTACCTTCTTTCTTTCCTTCCTTCGTTCCTTCCTTCCTCCCCTTCTCTTTCTTTTCTTTCTTTCTTTTTTTTTATTGTGCCTGTACTGGGGATTGAAACTGAGGCACTTAGCTTTTTCACTCAAGACTGGCACTTTACCACTTGAGCCACAGCTCCACTTTCAGCTTTTTGCTGGTTCATTGAAGAGAAGAGTCACAGGCTTTGCCTTCCTGGGCTGGCTTTGAACTACAATATTCTGAGCTCAGCCTCCTGAGTAGCTAGAATGCCAGACAAATTAGCATGTCATATAGGTAGGTGCCAAGAAGGATTTCGTGGGGCTTGAACTCTGGGCCTGGGGGCTGTCCCTGAGCTGCTTTTGCTCAAGGCTAGTGCTCTACCACTTGGAGCCACAGTACCACTTCTGGTTTTCTAGTGATTAGTTGGAGATAAGAATCTTTTGTACTTTGGGGGGGGGGGGGAGGGCTGGCTTTGAACCACGATCCTCAGATCTCAGTCCTGTAAGTAGCTAGGATGACAGGTGGGAGCTCCTGTGTCCTGCTTGATTTCTTTCTTTTTCTTTTTTTTAAATAATCTGTATTTGTACAAGTATGAGCCTAGACCATACCCAAACAGTCCAGATCGTAGGACAGAAAAAAAAAGCCAAAGAGCTCTTGCCAGTTGAAAGAATAGACATATATACATAGATACACATTCCCACCCCCCACCCCACACACATATGGCTTGGTTCCTGGTACCAGGTATGTTGGCATAATGTTGACTACAGTGCTTATGGGTGGAAATTGCATTATCAGCCTTCTAGACACAGCACCCTTGTTGAATCCATCATTAGAGCTCCCACAGAGCCTGCTAGTGTACACCCCTCAGGAAACTTCCCCTGCGTGCCGAGCAAATAACCATGATTGCCTCTCTCTGCACAGGCGGTGTGATGTGAGCTGAATTCAAAATGCCTGGAGCTTCAGGGGCCTTCTTGTTTTTTGTGTGTATATTTCAAGCCAGCACTGGGGCTTGAACCTAGAGCCTTGCGCTCCTGGTTAGCTTTTTCCCCTCTCTAAGCTGATCACCTATCACTTAACGCCACACCACCATTTCTGGCTTTTGTTGGTGGTGGTGGTGGTTAATTGGAGATTAAGTCACTAGGAGCTGAGTACCACCGGTGGCTCACGCCTGTCATCCTAGCTGGTCAGGAGGCTGAGATCTGAGGATCACGGTTCAAAGCCAGCCTGGGCAAGAAAGTCTTATCTCCAATGAACCACCAGAAAACTGGAAGTGGTACTTTGGCTCAAATGGTAGAGCACTCACCTTGAGCTGAAGAGCTCAGGGACAGCACCCAGGCCCAAAGTTCAAGCCCCACAACTGACCGAAAGCAAAAAGTTGCTTGGATTTCTCTGCCTAGCCTGGCTCTGAGCTGCAGTCCTCAAAATCTCAGCCTCCTGAGTAGGCTGACAGGCACAATCTACCATCACCCTGTACCATTTTTGGTGTTTTTATTTGCGGGGAGGAGAGGGGAGTAGGTTTGCTAGTACTGGGGCCTGAACTCCAAGGTTTGGTTGCTGTCCCTTAACTTTTATTCCCACTCAAGGTTGGCACTCTACCACTTGAGCCACAGCTCCTCATCCTAATGCTGGCTCATT